TCCTGATGTTTTGTTCTCTTCCCTAAGTCCCAAACTTATACTTTCCCACTTTATATTTCACTAGAGGTCTAAGAAGCATCTTAAATGCCATAAATCTAAAGGTTGCATCAATAATTATAACACCAAACCCACTCTTTCCCCAAGAATCTCCCAGCCCCTCACTTCAATCACCCATTTTTCAGACACACAAACCAGACAGACAGCTGCATTTCCCCTCATCTACATCACCTATCTATCATTGAGTTCTGTTGATTCCATGTCTAAAATGTTTCTGAAGTCCACATGCTTTTATTTTTCTCTTCTCTACTGGCCACATCCTATTCCAGGCTGTTTTCTTCTTCTACCCAGGCTCCTTCATTGCATTGGATCCAAATTCTAGGGCTTTACTGTGCTAGATAGTTTTATGTCAACTTAACACAAGCTAAAGTTATCTGAAAGGAGGACCCAGCCCACTGTGGGTGCTGCCATCCCTGGGCTGCTGATACTGGATTCTAGAAGAGAGCAGGCTGAGGAGCCGATAAAGAGGGAGCTAGTAAGCAGCTCCCCTCCATGGCCTTTGCATCAGCTCCAGGAGCCTCCAGATTTCTGCTCTGTTGGAATTCCTTTCCTGAAATTTCTTCAGTGATGAACAGTAATATCAAAGTGAAAGCCAAATAAACCCTTTCCTCCCCAACTTAATTTTTGGTCATGGTGTTTCGTCATAGCAATAAAAACCCTAACTAAGACTTCTGCTCTCCTATATCTGTCTGTAGACAAATTCATATTTACTGTCATGAGATAATAAGCATTCATTTATTATATATCTACAAGACAGCTGGCAAGTGCTCATGTCAGTCTATGGATCTGATAGAACAGTTCTGTCCCACTGGGCTCATTCTGGGATTCAGGCTCTACTGTCTGGTTTAAAACTTGTCCATTGTTCCCAGATCAGTGGCTAAAAGAGATCAGGCTCAGCAACAGTTTGAATTAATGAGAAAATCAGCTAAGACTCTCTGGCTTGCTCTTGTCCTGTCACAGTAGTTTACAGGCAGATCCCTAACTCCTCCCTCTCAGACCAGAAGCAGTGTCTTCAGTACTTGTGATGATTTGATTTGTACAGGTCTCCTGGCCATATCAAAAGCAGTATTTACTAAGAAAGATGTTTGGGGTCTTGACCCACACCCCTACCTTGTGATACTCTGTAAGCTAAACACAGTATTTCTAGATTCCCTGCTGAACCCCATGTTCTATCTTTCTCCTAGGGGATCTCTCTTTCCTCTGGGACTAATTGAAATATGATAAAATTCACAACTCAGGCTCTTGTAAATGGAAGCTGACAATGGTCTGACAGTACAGTGATAGGCAGAGTTCTCCCTGAAATCATTCAAGTCTCTCCCTTGAATGAAGCTTATTCATTTATTCAAGAACTCTTCCGTAGGTGAGGGTGTAGCTCAGGATAGAACATTTGCCTAACATGTACAGGCCCTGGGTTCAATTCTCAGCACTAGAAAATAAGTAAATAATAACTATTTTTGATTACTTATTCCATGTCAAACATTAGCAAAACCCTGAACATACAGGATTGTATAATTCAGATACAGTACTATCTTTACAAAATGTGCAATTTGGTGAGAAAAGCAGATACAAAGAAGGGTTCAGAGTGTTTGAGTAGACCAGATTTCTGGAGCTCTCATGCTTTAAGTGACTCCTGAAGAATTCCATGGAGTTAAGTCAAGAGTTTATGACAAGAGGATGGAAAGGAGGAAAGCATCCCAGGCAAATAAACTTCACAACAGAACTGTAGTTAGAACACAGAGCAGACGAAAGGTAATAGGTTGAAGAGGAAATCTGTGAAGTTCTATTATTGTCCCTGAAGTCTGACATCCTTACCAGTGTGAAATAGAGTGAATCATTTCTGTTTCCATCCAACTTCTCTGACATGTTGGAAAGAAAGTCACATCATTATCAACACTGAGCTGAGAGCCTTTGAAGGAAGGCACTATGGCCATCCACACTGTTATCAAGCTCATTTCTTATTTTGGAACTCAAGCAAAAATATTGTGGTATGCCCTTGGGCAAAAGCAGTTTACCTCAAAATGTTCTTCCTCCTTTGAAAAATACCCTGAAGATCAACATTTGGCCTCACGAGAGTAGGTTTGGTTGTCAGTCAGACACCCTGAGCTACAGGCTCTCAGGAAGCATTCACATTATTCTGTCCCTACTACTCCATGAAGCCTTTACAAATTCTTCTCCTCAGTCCCCTGTCTAATCAGCCACAGTGGTTGGATTCTGGTTTCTTCCTCTAGCAGAGTACATTTGCATCCCCCACATATGTCCAAATTAAAATAATCAGGGAATGGCTTCCTGGGTCAGTTCTCAGAGTCAACCTAATTAGCCAAGTTCTGAAGATGTGAGATTTGGACTAAAAGGGGGCTAATTGGGCAAATGAACTTTAGATGAAATCTCAATATACAACTCTGATTTCTCAACTTCTGCTTCTGGTGCTTCTGTACCCCATAAACTCTGTGGTGCTAATTGCTGTGGGATGCGCTGAGCTGAATTCAGCATGCTGATTAGAAAATGTGCTGACCCACAAGCATTTCCAGTGTGAGCTAAAAGCATTAGAACACAGTCTTTAGGTCAGCTTCATTAATCAGGTTGGGGTTTTTCCCCCAATTTTGAGTCTTAACATTTTAAACATTTCAAAGGACATGTGTATATATAACGTGCTAAGAATTACAGGCTAGAAATATTTGAAAGTAGTGACATATGTTGCATCTATGTCTAAGAGTATTTGTTTCTTAATATGTTAGTCTTTCTGGTGCTTTTACTGAAATATCTCTCCTGTGAGTAAACTATATTGGGATATATCAAGAATATTAGGTAGAAGTGGCATGCTATTCTTTTTAAAATATATTTATATTTAATATTTGAGAATTTCATACATGTGCACAATGTGTTTTGATCAAACTCATCCTCCACACTCTCTCCCTCAAACTCCACTCACACCCCATTCCCACTTTTCCCTACCTATCACAAGTATTCTTTTTTTAAACCTTGCTGCCAGGATGTGCACGGGTTATGGTTTTTGGTGTTATATATGGGTTAAGACTTGAACAGAAGTTGTTTGTTTTAAGAAAGGGTCTCACTCTGCATTCCAGGCTGGCCTTGAACATGCAGTTCTTCTGACTCAGCCTCCTAGTCCTGGGATTATGGACATGTGCTTCTGTGCCTAGCTTCTACATGGCAAATATCTTCATAGATTCTCTAAACTCTCCGTGAAGAAATGAGCGATATGACAATTAGTAAACAACAATAAGCTGTTTAAATTCAGTTTAATGAAAAATTCTGGATGATGTGAACATAATTCTAAAACATCCTCACAATCCCACAGTGTTAGCATTCTTATGCCTTAATTGTAGCACTTTTAGGTGGTGCTGGAGATTAATCCCAGGGATGTGAACAAGCTAGGCAAGTGCTCTGCCACTGAGCTATATTCCCAGCCTTAATTATTCTAAATAAAAAAAAAAATTCATGAAAGAAAATTTAAACTGTCCAGATAGTTTTTAAATATGTCTCTAAATTATCTGGAATTCCTCCCTCCAGAACATGGAGCCTAAATCTTCTTCCTTTAAGTATGAGCTAGGTTTGATGAATCACATCTAATGAGTAAAATACTGCAAAATAACCATGTATAACCAGATTTCTACAAGCACTGCAGTTTCTGCCTTATTCTCTTGATCTGTGGCACATCAGTGGCCATGTCATGAGAACACTCAAGCAGCCCTCCAAAGAGTTCAACATGGTAAGGAGCTGAGGCCAAATCTACCATCCAACAAGAAACTGAGGCATCATGCCAACAGCCATATAGTGAACTTAGAAGCTGATCCCCCAGCTCCAGACATCTCTCCAGAAGACTGCAGCCCAAACCGACCCTGAGACTGCAACTTCAAGTGAATCCCAAGCCAAGACCATCTAGCTTAACCAACTCCCAAAGTCCAGAGTCTGTGAAATAGATGGTTATTGTTTTAGACTATGACAATGTGAGGTGTGTCTTCAGAGGAATTAATAATGCCATAGCCTATCTAAATGCACACTCTCTTATATATAGTTCACTCCTTCCAAGAATTACTTAGTGGTTTTGAAGAAAAGCATTGTTCTTTAGGCTTCATATAATATACATAAGAAAAAAAAATGCCTTAGAGTCTGGCTCAGGAATCACATTCTCAAACACAAACCAGGATTTCACCCAAGAAAAAAGGTATGTTTTGTAAGGTATTATTTGAGCAAGCTGTAACATTGCTTTGGAATGTAAACGATGGTTCTGAGACTCAACAGCTCTCCTTTACTAAATGTTCCTTTTCCTTTGTCACTGTCCGGTTTTTCCTTGGCTCCTCCAAAGAAAAATGCCCAGAGAGCATAGCACTCTGCCCTGTCCTCTCTCTCATAGCTATTATTAGAAAAGTTTATCCAGCAGATTCTTCATCCTGATCAATGACTTCAGATATGATGAGGTCTGCCCTACGAAGCCAGGCTCTTCTGGGATATATATGTGACTCCATAAGAGTCATCAGGTGAAGAGCTATGGTATCATTTCCCCAGGCTGGCTGAGGCAGGCCAGCTTGAGTTATCTTCTTACCTCCTTTCAAAGAAGGAAGCCAAGTGTTAACTCAGAAGGCACCTAGTAAGATGTGAGGCTCTTTTGTCCCCACGTCACTTGTAAATGAACTTGTAATAGCTGATTGAGAGTTATATGTACCCTCTGAGCACCTCGACATGGTAGGGTCATCTCAGAAGTAAAAATCCTGAGCTGAAAAGCAAAATTCTATTCTATAATGGTCAACTGTGTAATGAATAGATCTCCCTCATTTATCGGAGGTCACCTTTCTTTCATCAATATTTCCTCATAATATTAATAGGTGACAAAGAGAATGAAATGCTGTCCTCCCAGCTTATCAGCTACAAATAACTTGGAGGCTGCCTTTCTAGTGCGAAGGACACCAGGCCTCTCTTTTCCTCAGGTGAAAGTGTAGAGGAGAATGCCAGCGTTGTGGTCAAGCTGCTCATCAGACGTCCTGAGTGCTTTGGTCCAGCTCTGAGGGGTGAAGGAGGAAACGGACTGCTGGCGGCTATGCAGGGTGCCATTAAGATCTCCGAGAACCCGGCACTTGACCTCCCCTCCCAGGGTTACAAGACAGAAGTGTAAGTGAATGGCTCCGGTGTGTGCAGATGGTAGGCTGCCAAATACTGTCAGTCAGTGAACCACCAGGGTGGGCCCAGTAAGTTTGCCGGTCGAAAGAGCACAGATGTTTTATGGTGGTTAAAACACTTAAAATCACTTTGTCAGGCCCATTATTGTTATGACTTTCCCAGAGAGCCTAGGGATCAGTACCAGCTCCTTCCATTCCTTTAGACCATTCAGCACAGCCGGCAAACCAGTGAGGCAGCAACGCCTTCTAGTTTCTACAGCACCTGCGAACAGCATCGCCTCAGGAGGATGCTCGGGAAAGCGTTTTGAGTGTTTGGCTTCCTCGCAGATGACTGTGGAGTTTAAAGGTTCAGAGCTGAGTTGGTACAGTATCTGGTGGCCTTGTCACTGTCCCTCTCTTGTGTTCAGTAGTCATTTGCCTTTATTTACCTAGTTTATACCCCGTGGTCTACAGAATGTGTGTAACCCACCAGAGTTGACCCTCCAAACAGTTGGCTCTTTTTCCCCCTTGTCATCAATTCTGACAGATCACTTAGTAGACCAGAGAGAACTCCAAACACATTTGTCTCAACGTTCTTGTATAACATGAGATAAAGCTAAGACCCGAAGTAATAGAGTTTGATAACCTCATAGCCAGAACGTGAATATAGCCCTCCTGACTCCTTGTCTAAACTAGCTTTCCATGGACATTCAGAAAGAAGGGGGAATGAATGGTGGGTAGTACCTAAACTCATGTTTCAAGGTTCATGGGATCCTAAAGCTATCATGGAAAAATATTTGGGTCCTTTGAGCGTAATGATTAAAACCAGCTTATTAGCTTCTGAACAGGGGAGTTGTGAGGGAAAGTTTATTCAACCCGAATGGAGTGTTTTGAATAAGCAGTACCTGCCTAACAGCATGGCAGTCTCTCACATGCCTTCCCCATGTTGATTCTTTCTCTACAGCACAGAGGATGATGAAGAGGAGGAAGAGATTGTGCACATGGGCAATGCGATTATGTCGTTTTATTCGGCTCTTATAGATCTACTGGGCCGCTGTGCTCCTGAAATGCATGTAAGTGATACCATTTACTGACAGCAGCTTTGAGGAGCCTTAGTCAGGAACACTAGAGAACTCCTGAATGTAGTTTCTTCATCTGTGCCTGGCATTGACTAACAAGCTTCTCTCTAGGTTTCTTTTAGCTAACACCAAAGTAGTTTCCACTTCAAATGCCTGAATGGGCCACTTTCTAAGGAAGAGAAAGGGGTGTGTGTGTGTGTGTGTGTGTGTGTGTGTGTGTGTGTGTGTGTATTCTCTTTGGTACTATCTGGGTATAACCTCTACACATTTTGTTTAAATAGCCTTCCAAAATGAGGCTTCCATGTCCCTCAGCTTGACCAAAATGTGGCTAACCTGATTTTTGGCCATGCCACTGTTAATGGCCTCATGAGTGCCATAGGGACACTCTGTGTGGGAAATACTGTCTTGATGACCATGGCTCTGGGCTCTAGGGAAACAGTCAGTTTTGCAGGCACACACACAAAGATGGTTCTGATGTGATGTCTTCTCAGACCTCCAGTTTTGGTCTGGAAAGTGTTCCTTCCCTTCCATTTTTCACCCCTGCTGATGGGATATTTGGTGTTATTTCATATAAAGCCTCACACTGAAATTGAGAGGAAATAGTTGCTCTTCTTAACAGAAGGAAAACTTAAATCTTGGTGTTGGAGGCTGCTGAGATTCGCTAGGATTCCAGTTCCTTCTGTGATACACTAGCCCTATCAAATCAACCCGCCTTTACATTTCAGTTCCTTTAAGCAAAGAAAGGAACTCAGAAGGAAGCCAGGGGAACAGCAGGGTATCTAGAACTTGGAGAAGTGTCAGACCCCTTTTGTTCATACTCCAGTTCTCTTGATCACTCTGTATTACTTCTGGAAGCAAGTTACATAGCGGACATGTTCTCAAAAAGACAGAATGTGAAAGCTAGTTCACCAGAGCCTGCCTAAGGAAGAAATAAATACCTTCTCTTCTGCCTACCACTTCCCTGCCCCATTATATTCACACACACACACACACACACACACACACACGCACGCACGCACGCACGCACGCACGCACGCACGCGCACACACACGCACGCACGCATGCACATGCCTACACACCTTCTCAGAACCCCTCCCTGGCCCCTTCTCCTTCTGCGGAGAGAAAAAGGTAAGCTGCCTCATTACTGACAACTCACCAGAAAGAGGTGGCAGGCAGGGTAGATGAATAGGATCCTGCTTTCTCTGGGGCCACTGAGCCCCATGTTTCAGAATGCACCAGCCCACATGGGATAGATCTAATCTTGTGCTCCTGGATAGTTACTGCTCAGCAGAAAGTCTGCTGGCCCCCTCTTTGGAGACCTCTGCTGCAGGAAGATGGACATGTACACTTGTGTACATGCAGATTGACCAATTGGTCATGTGTGTGAATAAACCTATCCTGCTTGGCTTGACTCCAACGAAACACTCAAATTATCTTTGACAATGTCTATACTCTTCATGCCCACCCCCAACATTCTTCAAGCTCAGAAGAAACTGAAATTTGTAAGTCATTTTCTCATCTGCTACAATTCTGAAATCTGGTATTGTGGACACAGTGTCAGCACTTCTGACATGGCTGTGAGGGCTCCCTGCTGAGGGTTGATACCTTAACTGCTGAGGGTTTCAGCCTCAGTAAAGAAAGAATGTGCCTGCCTTCAATGGAATTATTCCCTCAGTCTCCTTTCCTGCAGTAAATCAAGAGGAAGTTTCCTGAAGCCACACATATCAAAAGCAATTGGGGGGACTCAGAAGCAGACCCCTGCTGGTGGGACCATGTTCCTGCCATAGGTTAGGAGATGCAGTGTGGCAGGTCTGGGGGCTTCATCTTTTTTATCTCTTTCCTGTGTGACAGCTCATTCAAACAGGGAAAGGGGAAGCTATCCGGATCCGGTCCATCCTGCGCTCCCTGGTCCCCACAGAAGACCTGGTTGGAATCATCAGCATACCCCTGAAACTGCCCTCACTAAACAAAGGTAGGGAAGCAGCTTTAGGCTGAGCCCACCTCTAGTACTTGCCTGCTCAGCAGCAGGACACTGCCAGAGTCCCCTGCCAGATGAAATGCCTTGCTCTTTTTCCAGTGATGAGTTTTCTGTAGACTTAACCTAGTTCCTCTATCAGCCACTTCCCTGTGTCAAATCTTTGGCCCTCCGGTACAGACTGCCGTCACCATTCTGGGAGCAGGAACCACACTAGCCTTCTGAAGGGTGATAAAATGAGCAGGTGACAGCCCTTACCATGGCCTGATTTCTCCCTTGCCAGTGTACCCTAGGAGAATGAGATAGCCAGTAGACTTGCAGACTGACTTCTGCCATGGACCTGGAAGATCTCATAGCCAAGGATAATAAGCTAACCCCAACGCTACTTGTGGCATTTGACACCAATCATCCCCAAAGCATTTTGATTCTCTGAGTCACCCTGCGTGGTCTTCAGGCACATGGTGGAATTAAAAAGATAGCATGAGTCTGGCTGTTGCAATGTTTCCCAAACTGCCATTCCACGGAACACCTTCAAAGGATATTTTAATATACTTACGTAGTAGGGGCTCATAGGCAAATAAATATGGAAATTGTTGTAGAATATGCATTTTATAAAATGTTCAAGAATATGTGCCACTTTTATAACTTCATAAAGCACAGTTGAGTAGTAATGTGCCTGAGAAAACAGGATAAAGAAAATAGATGTTAAACTCCATGTTTCCCAATGATGTGGTGCTTTCTTTTAGCACAAAACACTTGCTGAATCCCACAGAAATAGTATTCATCAAAGCACCACAGCTGCGTATGAAACCAAGCCAGCCTCGGACATTCAGCACCCAATCTGCCTTGTGCTCAGGGAGGAGAGGCTGCCCTGGTGCCCTTCCCTCTTACCAGTCCACACAGACTAATTGGCAGAAGGAGGCCCTAAGCTGGACGACACTTCAGCCCTGTGCCTCTCGGGTTGCCTTAGAAATCCAGTCCAATACTCGCATATGCTGTGGCTCTTGGTCATTTGGGGATCTCTTTTCTAGTTTTTGGTGCAAGACCAGAGGGAAAAAGCTGTCTTTCATCCTCCCTAAAAATTCTTTTTATTCTCTAGGCCAAGCAGGTTGATTTTCCCTATGGATTCCTCACTTTATCCTTGAGCCAGTTTTGTTTTGTTTTTCATTCAAATAAGACTCAAATAATGGAGTAACTTGGTCTAAGGATCACCTAGAGCAGACACTGAAGGAGTACTTGCTATTTTGCACTGTGGTGTGATGACTACAGATATGACATATTATTAAATTTAATCTACTTGCTTAGCATTTTACCCCTCACGTTCCTACATCATCCACCAAAAGAGCAATAACTCAAGCCTTGATTTCCTAGAAATTTCTTTTTTTTTTGTAGGATAAATATTCCCATTGTAGGTTACTCCATGCTACCAATGTGGTATCACAGAACATGGAGTTGGAAAGAGAAGGCCTAAAGCATACCATCATGTTCTATTTCAATATATAAATTACAGCTGATATAATAGAGTATTCTCTATAGTACTATTACAAATTGGTGAACTATGACTGTGGATTGCCTTTAAAAATATAATCTACTTCACTGTAAATTTAAACTTTAGTTTAAAATGTGTTTAATAATCAGTTCATAGACATTTGACCATTGCTTCCAGCTGCCTAGATAAAGCTGCTTCCAACTTAGTTCTTATTTCTAAACTTCCTGTTGCCTATCCCAACAAGCTGTGGACAGACAAGTTCTATGCTGTGTTTTCAAACTGCGTAAACAGGAAATCATGTGTTTTGTCTTTCAGATGGATCAGTCAGCGAGCCAGACATGGCAGCCAACTTCTGCCCAGACCACAAGGCACCCATGGTGCTGTTCTTGGACCGTGTTTATGGCATTAAAGATCAAACCTTCCTGCTCCACTTGCTGGAAGTTGGGTTTTTACCTGACTTACGAGCATCTGCATCTCTAGACACAGTAAGTAGCTAAAATAAAGGGTGTAGAGAGAATTCCCCTCATGGTTAAATCAGTGACACATTGGACTTGGAAACATATTTTCTGCCTACTTGATGGTCATATTTTAATGGTCTGCTTAAGAATGGGAAAAACAGAGGTACCAAAAACTGGAAGATCTTAATTTATTGGCCCAAAAATTTACATGTAGGTAAATTTGGCCTTAACTTTTGGTTCCAGTCCCTTCAATTGAAGTTTCTCAAACCTTGGAACACTATTTCTTCAGGAAATGGGAAGAGGGAACTAGACTATGATATTCAGCATAGTATCTTTACATAGCATGTCTGGCTACCCATTAGGTACCAGGAGCAATTTTTCTATTATTGAACTCCTGCTTAGAACCAAGTATGGACATCAACAAAAGTCCCCCAGGAGACCAAAAAAAAAAAAAAAAAAAAAAAGAAAGAAAAGAAAAAAATCACACTCTTGTGATAATATGATTCTGAGTTTGATGGAAGGGGCTGACTGGAAGCATTTCAGGCTAGGGATACTCTTCCCATTCTCACTTATTTTGCCCCATGCACTGACCACCAGGAAGAATAGTCTGTAGTCAGAGGTGTGACAGAGGTCAGTACAAGAAGCCAAGAGCAAAGGCACAGTTGGAACTCAAAGCTGGGGTAAAGAAATCCAGCATCCACAGGCATCAAGACAAGAAGTGTCTGACCATAATATAAGAGATGCCAGCTTTCATATCTGTGCCTTCGAGGGGAGGGAGAGAAGGATGCAACAAGCTGGATGTGCTTAATTTCAAAAACTATCTTCTTATAGGCTTCTTTGCAATTAGGTTTCTCAAGGGCGCCACCTGGTGTTCATTAGGCAGAAATGCGAGTTCTGGAGTGAGGGGTTTGTGGCCAGTACATACATTCATTCACTCATGGAGACATGGCATGAAAATGAGGAGTGAAGGAGTCAGAGCCATAAGATCCTTTCATATCTTCACCATACTCCACCTACCACTACTTTTGTTTGGAGCTTTTCTATAAATCCCTCAGTTTTAAAAATAACATTTAAAATTCGTGGACTTCAAGTTTCCTGATTAAAGGTTTTGTTGTTGTTGTTTTTCAAACAGCAAATTCTATTCTAGCATTTGATGTTTGATCACATGCTTGCTAAAACACCATCTGCCCCTCCAAAAAATAAATAAATAGCAAGGGTTTATGTTCAGTCCCTCATCTGAGAACTTCCAAGCCACGGGAATCAAAGCCCTGCTTCCTCATCGGAACTACTCAGCCTCTGAAAGAGATGAATGTGAAAGACAAGCTATTTTTTTCAGCATAGTCACCAGTGTCTCCAGAAGACAAACTTCTGATAATTAATACAAACACCCAGAACTGTGAAGGGTTCAAAGAAACAGTTTTTCAAATCATAAGTTGTAGGAAATGTTCATTCAGATATAATAGCTGTGATAATTGTAGGAAATAATGACACTTTATCTCTGTGGGTCTCGAGGCTGCTTTTGAAGTCCTTCAGTTTTCAACAATGACGTTAGTCACTCTTTGGCTATATTTAGTGTCACTAAATGGATATTCCCTGAATTCAGCTTGTCCATCTAAGTTTACAAAGAGGAACCTTGTGAGCGAGGATTATACCAGAGCATTAGAGAAGGCCCTAGATTTCTATTCCTTTTTATACTTCTCATGCAGCATCTGGTTCCCTCTAGTGAGGTCAACCTTCATATCAGTCATCAGATTGTGAACTGCCCACAGAACTTTAACTAGTGGGCATCAGAGAGCCGCTTTTTCTTTGTAAAGCTGGCGAATTTGAAAGACAGTGTGGTATACACCCATGTTAACCTTGATCACAGGGGACAATATGTGAGACTCTTATAAGGTGACAAGTGAGAGCTCAATCCAGAATAAGGATGCAATAGCCTGGAACCTAGACATTCAAATATCAGGTGATGCCCATCGACTGATTTTAGTGAGGGTTTAAAATTCTTCTTTGAGACCATTTAGAATCCAGCCATTTTTAGATGTTTGCTTTGTTTCTGGGGGTAGGGGCTAATGTAGTGGGTAGCCATTCCAGCTTTGATCTGGAAGTTCCAACCCCCATGGAGACTTCAACAACTGTCACGCCTACAAGGTGGGGCCAAGGGAGTCACCTGGAGACCTGAGATCTGGATGGGTGGCGCTCTCACTCGGTTCCGGGACCTTGGATGGTTAAGGTGGGCCAAGCAGAGCTCCAGAGAACACTGCTGGACTGCGATACACCTTCCCCAGACCCCGCGACCTACCTATCCCTTAACTTGTAAGTTACGCCATTAAATAAATCTCCTTTTAACTACGTGGAATGGCCTTAATAATTTCACCAATATCTGGCGCCCAATGTGGGGCAAATTCCAAAGGCCTGGGTGGCTCCCACCCTCAGCCTCCTCCCCGGCTAGCAGGTACCTAAACCCGCCTGCAAAGTTCCATATAACCTAGCTGGAATGGCTACCCACTACAGGCTAATCTTTTTTTTTTCTTTTAAATGGGAAAGAGAGGTGGATAGGTGTTTAGGGGTCCTCCAGGCTTTACAGCTGGAAGGGAAATGATCCAGGTGAGGGAAGAATGATACTCAGTTCAGCCCAATTTAGGTAACTGGTGCTGGGTCAACACTTTAAGAGTCTGACCTAAGCTTGTTTATTTTTGCCATATTTAAGCATGGCACAATTTTGGAAAAAAGTTCTCAGGTAAAAATTAACTCAGTCCCATGAGTACAACAAAGTTTAAGACATGTTTACATTGAAGCTCTTTACAGAGTATGTGTGGTTTCATTCATAAGATGGGTTCTTGTTGACTTAGAAACAACATTCAAGGTCTAGAGAGAATGACTGGGGTAAACATAATGCCTGCAGGAGTCAGGATTTGGTCTGGCCCTGTGAAAAACAAAGAAGTCACTTACACTGTTGTGAAGTACAAATAACATCTCTCTCAAGAAGGCCTAGAAGCAAGGTCTGAGATAAGTAAAACCTAAATTCTGGGAGATATGGACAGAGTCTGACTCATAACTAGGTTATAAACTACATCCCTTCCCAACATTCCAGGAAGAACAGGTTAAATATCTCCTTCCTTTGAAGGCTGCCTGTGTGCTTAACTTTCCTGGCTTCTCCAGTGCTTATCAATGTGCACAAGGACTCTTGCCCTCTCCAGATAGGCTAAGTACAGCCATGTGTAAGTTTCCCTGATCTTTCATGGGGTCCCATGCCCTAAATGAACTGGCTGCTTTCTGCGAGGTTAACTAATGCCCTCACTCCCTTTCTCAGGTGTCCCTCAGCACCACCGAGGCTGCGCTGGCACTGAACAGGTATATATGTTCAGCCGTGCTCCCACTCCTTACTAGATGCGCCCCTCTCTTTTCTGGGACAGAGCACTGCACCTCTCTGATTGATTCTACACTGCAGACAATATACCGGCTTTCCAAAGGACGGTCCCTCACCAAGGCTCAGAGGGACACAATAGAAGAATGTTTACTTGCCATTTGCAAGTAAGTGTGCTCTCCTTTGTTTTTGACTTCTGCATATGTATCATCCCTGCCAAGTGTATTTATGTGTGACACAGTTATACAGTGCACAACTGTATAATACAGTAATGTATTGTGAAACTGGTGAGAAAGTCTGAGGAAACTACCAGACCTTCATCATGTGCCCAGCCTTCCCCCAGCCATCTCTCTTCAAATGTACTTGTTACCTGTCTTGTCACGTAATCTTCCTTGGAATCATCTCTCATTATGGGGAAGAGGAGGACACAGCTCAGGATTTACCCACTGGGGTGAAAAACCAGGAAAAAGAATTTTGTCTCTTGTGCCTGAAGTATCTCTCTAATGAAGTAATTGTCTAGTTCTGAAGAGAGACCCAGAAAGATTTCTCTACCATCTAACAGAGAACTTTTACACAGAAGCCAAACTCCATGTGTAAATCAGAACAGTTCACCTCCAGGTCTCCATGCCTGGAGCAAAGATTCTGGTCACAGTGGGGAATGGTAACAATGGCCAATGTAAGCAGGCATCAAAGCCAACAAAGAACATTGGGAATCTGCATCAAGTCCGGAAGGACAAAGGATGAGGTACTTTCCAGCAACTGGTCTCTCACCATAGTCTAGGATTCCAACCTGCTGCTGTAATCCAGTAGTGCCCCTGCTAGCCTGTGTATTAGAGTCACTGAGATCTGGATACATTTCCCAGTTCCCATACCACATCCCAGCCCCAGGATAGAATCCAGGACTCTAGCATTGAAGCTTTGAGTAATTGACTCTATTAATGGTACGTAGTGTGATTGAGAATCGCTAGTGAAATGGTCACCAGGCTCCCACTTTAGGGGCCAGAGGGACATTGTTCCTGATTCTTCTTAATGACATGTGTCCCCATCACACACATTAGAAGGCTCATGATGGCTAGAAGAAAATCCATCAGAACTGTTCATCATTCGAATGTCAACTAAAAGGCAACCTCAGCTATGTGATATTGTGACAAACCTATTAGACGATGCAATGATGGTGATGCAGAGGCTGAAGATGTGGGGCAGGCAGGACTCTCATTGGCTGTTCACGGGAATACAACACAGTGCATCTACTTTGTCAGACAACCTCTGTCAGGCAGTTTCTCACAAAGCTGGAACACTCTTACTGTAATTTCAATCATCATATTCCTTTGTGTTTACTCAAATTATTTGACAGGTCACATCATATATCATGTTAGCCATTATATATACATTGTATGTGTGTGTGCATATATATATATATATATGTGCACACACACACTTGATTTTTATATTATGTTAGTCATCATTAATAAAGCTTCAGTAAGTCAATAAACAGTGTAAGCCCAGGATATGGACTATTACTCAGTATTAAAAAGAATAATCAAGCCACAAAATGAGTCAGCCATGATTAACAAGAGACCAGCACCACTGAAGTGAAACCTTTGTGTTCCTGGGACAACTGATGCTGGTTAACTGGAGCTGAGAAATTAGCGGTGATTGAGAAGAGACCAGCATGGCTGAGGTGAAATCTTCTGTGAAGTGTTTCCTGAGAGTCAGTACACGGAAGCTGTGGTCCAGGGGTGGCCAAGGTTATACCTCAGGCTGGAAGCAGAACTTGGTAGTGTATGAGACACCTAGGTGGTGCTGGTTTTGAAGGCATGAAGGGGTCATAGAGAGCAGCTGAGGCTTGCCACTGTGAGAGGCCAGGAGAGACCATTGGTGAAGGTGCAGCCTCAGTGGCAGTTGAAGGCCCAGGATTGAAGGAGCCAGACAAAGAAACTGAGGCTTGGCACCATGAAGAGAGCCCATGAGAGGCTATTGATGAAAGTGCAGCCCAGCTGCAGCAGAAGACCCCTGCATTTTTGGAGGTGCCAGTACCATGGGATGACCACCAAGAACAGCAGCAGTGGGAAGTGGAGCCAGCCTGAACTTAGAAGATAAGCTGTCTGTGATGCAGAGGGAAGAGCTGGAGAAGTGACCCAAGCCTCTTGGAGGACCCCAGAAGATTGTGAGCGAATCCCTAATATTGGAAATTGTGTTGTTTACACAGTTCGAGTTTGGTTTTGTTTGGATTTATGACTGTGCCCTGGTTCTTCCCTCTTGAAGTAGAAGGTATTTAATTTAATTTTAATTTTTACAGGAGCCCACAGCTGAAAGACTCTGAACTTTTAAAAGAGATTTGGGATTTTTAAAGAGAATGGATATTTTAAAGAGACTAAAATTTTAATGTGTTTGAATTTGTAAAGACTGTGGGACTTTTAAAATTATTTGTAATTTTAATGTGAGATCTTGGGGACAAATAAGAAAGGAAGGGTTGTGGTTTAATAGTGATGTGTTTGTGTGTCAAATTGACAAGGGGTCAATTGTGCTAACTAGTTTTATGTAAACTTCACACACGCTAGAGTTATCTAAAAGAAGGGAACCTCAATTGAGAAAATGCCTCCATAAGATCCCACTGTAAGGCATTTTCTTAATTAGTGATTGATGGTAGAGGGTCCAGCTCATTGTAGAAGTCTTAGGCTGATAGTCCTGGGTTCTAGAAGAAAGCAAGCTGAGCAAGCCATGGGGAGCAAGCCACTGAGCAGCACCCCTCCATGGCCTCTGCATCAGCTCCTGCCTCCAGGTTCCTGCACTATTTGAGTTCCTGTCCTCACTTTGATGACGAATAGCAATATGGAAGTGTAATCCAAATAATCCCTTTCCTACCAACTTGCTTTCTGGTCATAGTGTTTCATTGCAGCAAGAGACCCGAACTAAGACACTATACAGACTACTTCATTCATTCCAACATTGCTATCATTGGTAGAAATTAAGTTAAATAGAGGGGCGGTGGTCTTGCAAGATAGGAAGAATTCTGGCCTCAGTGCTTACTGATGTAGGTCTCCACCTTCCTCCTCAGTGGAGGCAACAGGACTAAGTAATAGCTTTACTCAAGAACATCTCCCCTCTGACAGTGTCAATGCTGTGCCTGTTTGAAGAGCTAAGCTGTCCTTGGTCTGACTTTGGCTGGATCTGAACTCAGATTAGAACACATCAAGAAAGGAACCTGGCGGATTGGCATTAGCTCTTTCCAAATAGAAAAGCCAGGTTCATGTGACTGATCAGAACTAGAAATAGCTTCAAAGAAACCAGAGTTTGGGGAAAGCAGAAGTTTACATTGAACCTGAAATGAAGCTCCGCATTCTGTCCCTGTAGTTCTGGGGGCACTGTTCTTCTCTTCTCCCAGTTTGAGCTCCAGGTACAGCAGGCATTTTATTACTTATTTATAATAAGTCAGTGTCGTGGTTAGGATTCTATTGCTGTGGTGAAACACCATGACCAAAAAGCAAGTTGAAGAGGAAAGGGTTTATTTGGTTTTATGGCTGTTCAGTATTGAAGGAAGACAGGACAGGAATTCAAACAGGACAGAAAACTGGAGGCAGAAGCTGAGGAGAAGATATGGAGGGGTGCTGCTTACTGGCTTGCTCCCAAGGCTTGTTCAGCCAGCTCTCCTAGAGAACCCAGGATCACAGCCTGGGTGGTTCCACCCATCATGAGCTGAGCCCTCTCACATCAACTGCTAATTAAGAAAATTCGGCACAGGCTTGCCCAAGCCAATCTTTTGGAGGCATTTTCTCAGTAGAGGCCCCCTTCCCTAGATGACTCTAGATTGTGTCAAGTTGATAATAAAACTAACCAGAAGCCGGGCGGTGGTGGCGCACGCCTTTAATCCCAGCACTCGGGAGGCAGAGCCAGGCGGATCTCTGTGAGTTCGAGGCCAGCCTGGTCTCCAAAGCGAGTTCCAGGAAAGGCGCAAAGCTACACAGAGAAACCCTGTCTCGAAAAACCAAAAAAAAAAAAAAAAAAAAAACTAACCAGGACAGTCAGTCAACAATAGGATCACAGATTTATTGCCCCCTCCTTTATTCAAGTTAGTTTTGGGTGACAGTTGCTAACTATCTAAACAGTAATAAGAAACACTGAGACAATTTTAAGTTTTAATTACTAGATTCAGTGATAGGGCTGCTGCTTTGGGGATGGGTTTTGATTAGCCTTTCTCAGCCCAGGGCTTTTTATCACAAGACCAGTTCTTGGAAAGTCGTGAAATAAATAGGTTTTGTCCCTCTCTACCTGCATTCATCCTCCTTGTTGAAGGTGCTTTGACGAATTTTCTGGTATGTCTCCTTTACCAACTGGTCTCACCTCCCTAGCTCCTTAGGTATCTATGATAGGAATTTGGGGACTCATGAACTGAAACTTTATAGCAAACTCTAGTGTGTGTGTGTGTGTGTGTGTGTGTGTGTGTGTGTGTGTGTGTGTTCTGGTGTGTTCTGGTGTGTATATGTATATGTGTGTGTGTAAGTGTATGTGTTCTGGTGTGCGTATTGTGTGTATATATATATATATATATGTATGTGTGTATGTGTGTGTGTGTGTGTGTGTGTAAGTGTATGTGTTCTGGTGTGTGTATTGTGTATATATGTATGTATGTGTGTAAGTGTATGTGTTCTGGGGTGTGTGTGTGTGTGTGTGTGTGTGTGTGTGTGTGTGTGTTTTCACGCTCTGGAGAGAATCCATAGGTCCCTCTTGACTTTAGTTTGGCATCTGAAGAATGAAAGTTAACCTCTCCTAGCTCTCCTTCTCTGTCTCAGAATTTACTTGCACCAAATACCACAGTCTTGAACAGTATAATTTGATAAGTCTTTCTTTAATTAATTTTTAGTTACTGTTTGCCATTTACAGAGTTGTCCTGGGAACAAAAGCCCGAAGAAATAGTCCCAATAGTGTGAAATTCCTGGATCAGATTGTAACCAGGGAGACTTTATGGTTGCCTTCAGACCATACCAGTAGATGGCCTCAGATTCCACCTCTGCAGCTGATCAATTATATCTTCTCCCTTTGCAGTTACACAGTGAGACCCTGTCTTTAAAAAGAAAGAAAGAAAGAAAGAAAAGCAGTTCTTAGTTCTTAGAAGTCCTTAGAGATGGCTATGAAGCCAGCTGCATCTTCTATCTGTTACGTACTTTGCACGTGGCCACTGAATATATTTTCAGTGCACAGACCCCAGAACATGATGGTTCACAGTAGCTGGAATTTAATCTTAACTGTCCTAATTCATTAGCACATGTCCCTTTTTATATTTTAACCATATTCCATTTTTAAATGGAGGGCTTTACCATCCACTATCACTTGTCTAAGATCTATGTTTAGACCCTCTTTGTTTTGATGCTTAACCTTAATTTGTGCCCCTTTTTAAATTTTATGTTTTATTATTGTGTGTGAATGGAGTGTGTGTGAGTGTGTGTGAGTGTGCACACACACACATGTGTGCCCCTGCATCCTCCTGTGCTACAGGGCACATGTAGATCTGAGAACAGCTCTATAGAGTTGATTCTCTCCTTCCTGCGATGGGGAGGGGATCAAATTCAGGTTTGTGCACCGAGTGCCCTTCCCCACTAAGCCCTCACTTTTTTCTCGCCCTTTTGTTTTTCCTTCCTTCCTCTTTCCACCATGTGGTATTTACTTTGTCCCGTCTTTCTGTTTTCTTCCTCTGAATCACAGTCACTTGAGACCTTCCATGTTACAGCAACTCCTACGACGTCTGGTTTTTGATGTGCCACAGCTCAGCGAGTACTGCAAAATGCCTCTTAAGGTAAACATCACCGGCACCACCGACGTGCAGTCAACGGCACATTTAGAGAAGCAAAGCGAGTGTTAGATTTTGACAGCTTCACAAGGTGCAATGCACAAAACCAATCTCTGGCTTGAATCTGCAGCTTCCAAAGCCTGGGCTTGTGGTTGTTACCTGCTGTGGGTCTCTTGAGTTACCTTCCACTACTTGATTTTTAATCAGAGATTTCTAAGGAGACTTGGAATTTACCCTTTCTTACCCTAACTAGGTTTTTAAAATATTTTAACCTCAAAACATTTTGAAAGCCCTGTGGTTTTTCTTTTCTTTTTTAAAAAATTATTATTTATTATTTTGCATGTTCCAATGTTTTGCCTACATGTATGGCTAGGCAACACCCACATGCAGTACCGGCAGAGACCAGAAGAGGGGGTCAGATTCCCTGGGACTCTATGAATATGCCTGGAATCAAGCCCCTGTCCTATGGCAGAGCAGCCCGTGCTCTTACCCACTGAGCCATTGTCCCAGCCCTCCCTGGGGTCTTTCAAAGGACCTAAAATGTCCTTTCCACATTGTTTTGTGGCCCCCAACCCCGCAGCAGGTGCTCTTTATTTTTTTTCTATTTATTAATGAAAAGAACACAGAACTTTTTGTTTATTTTCTCATTCTTATGACTTCTCTATTATAGCCCCAGAACACCTAATCCCGGGTGGTGCTAGGGTTAGTGGCCACTCCAGAGGGCAGCATTTCAACTTCCCTCTGAGGCTCTACCTTCCTTGCAAATCAAGGAAGTGACAGCAGAGATGAGCCACACTGACGATTTCCCCTTTTTTCTTTTTCTTTTTCTTTAAGGAAATAGTTCAAGCAGGGTGTTAAGGGAATATTTTATTGAGGTAACCAGAACTTTCAGAAGCCTTTGGTTCCGTTTCATAACCAGCAGGAAGCATTACACAATCACTGAGGTTCTCAGTCCTTCCAGGACTAAGTTTTCCTTCCAACCTGAACAGTTTTGGGTCTCAATCCCAAAGGGTACTGTAGCTGAAGGCGTGGTCTGCATTCTTTAACTTGACTCTGCTTCTTGTACAGATCCCTGCTCTCAGGTGATGCTGACTCCTAAGAGGCATTACTGGTGCCACTCAGTCAGTTCACTTTGACATCTCACGTGAATGGCATTTCCCCCACTTAGATGTGAATCCTACCTGCTGGGAAGAGATGTTACTATAATGTAACCCTCCTCTGGCCACTTATGGAACGGCTATCACTTTGAGCTGTACAAAGGCCAGAGAGACCAGGAAGCCACAGACAACCATCAATCTTCAAACCCACAATTTTCTGTCCACTGTCCTCTCCCCATATCAGCACACCCCAGGGTATTCCAAAATTATATGTAATCATATGAAATTATTCCCACACATGATTGACTGGTCAGCACACTGTGACTCCTTTCAAAGGGTAACATTTTCTCATTGAAAACAGGACTGACTCCTCTCCATTTCTTAGTAACTACTTGGAGCACACCGGGAGGCAGGAGAATTAATCAGGCAGATGCAGCTCACTCCAGAACTCATTAGGTGTGAGAGCAGACCCTTCCCGGAGGCATCTGAGGAGCCTCTAGGTTGACAACGCAACTCCTTCAAATCCTGGTTTCCTCCTCATGATTCCTCCGTACTCTTTTCTTCTCCCTGCATGTCTCCAATGCCTGTGGATGTGCTGGACTCTGTGTGACTGGTGCCCCCGTGTTCTGAAACTGCCAGCTGCTGACAAACCACTATGAGCAGTGCTGGAAGTATTACTGCCTGCCTTCAGGATGGGGGAGCTATGGGCTAGCTGTGGAGGAGGAACTGCACCTCACAGAGAAGCTCTTCTGGGGCATATTTGACTCCCTCTCCCACAAGGTAATGGCTACTTCCGAGAAAACAGGTGGCCCCAGTGACCCAGGCCCACAAGAATTTACTGTGGTTTGGCTTTACTGTTTCCTATGGACTGTACTAAGGACCTCAGGAGCATTTTATGTTAATCCTTTAAACTACCCCTCAACCTCCCATCCCAACCCCCCCCCAAAAAAAAGACTCTCCAGAATGGGAATTATCGTAATCCTCAGAGTAGTCAAATAAATTGCCAGACTTGCTGAGCTTAACACACAGGAGAGTAGCCACCAGGGCAAATTCCAAAAGCATTTCTGCTTCCAGTTTTGAGTCCTTATGCCTCTTGTTCTTTTTCTCCGTGAGGTGTGACATCCTGGTCCCATTTCCTGTATACTCTACTTCCTCATTGTGAATCCACCAGCTGCCTCACACTCATTCTCCACCATGCTGATCTGTTCCCCTCAAACTCCAAGACAGAATAAGGCTCCCTCTCTTCCTTAAGTTACCTTTGTCTGGAGTTTTTGTCACAGCAGTAGGTAAAATATTAATGCAAATCTCTATCCACCACTGTGGAATTTAGACAATCTTCACATTCCCCCTCTGGTTATAGGCTGGGCCATTTCCTGTAACTTAGTCGTCTCAGGGAAGTTTATAGCCCTTTCTAGCCTAGTAAAAACCTTCTTAATCTTCAGATATTCTTGAAATGTATTTGGAATGGCATTGATTTAAGCCTTTAATCTTCTTCAACTTAAAGGGAATGGTAACTTGAGGGCTTTACTGCTACAGGCTGCAGGAATATATTGTAAGAACTCAGCTGGTTATGGATAAGCCACTACCTGAAGGGATCAAGGAATTCCTTCAGAGGAAGCCAAATTCCAAGGAGCATTTGGTGTTATTTGGCTTGCTATATATCAGCTATCTTCTGTTATGAAAATCATGTGTGCCTTCATAGTTTTCCCAATTGATTTTTTCTGTAAGAATTGCTAACAGTGTGGACTGATCACTCTCTGGACATATACATTTAAGGTATTTGGAGAACAGCCTCAGGAAAGGCTTCCTTCCCTCCAGCCCATCTGTTTCTCCCCTTTGAGCACTGGATCTCTCTTAGCCACTTTCAAGGACTAACAGAAATAACAGCCCAGACCACCACATGCTCATCTCCTGACTTAAGGTAAATTCCACAAGGAGACACCGCCTAAGTCAGGTGGACCTTAAGTAATAGCTTCACACAATTTAGCTTGGACCCTCCTTTCTTACAGCCTTACTAACTTTATAGACCTCTAACTCCTTACCTAATCACTTCTAGGAATATTTAGATAACCTTCTGTGCTAACAGCTATACACAGCCAGAACCCCAGTTCAAGCCTCCCTGTAATTATCATCATTGGCAGCATCCGGCCAGGTCCATCCCCAGAAGGGGGAAAGTACCTTGTCAGAGATACCTCTGTACTCTCTAAGAACAGACTTACGCATCCAGACTACCCTTTTGAGAAGGCCTGGCAGATGTGCCAATTAAGCTTAACTTCCTCCTTTCCTAATTCTTACCTCCAGTTCCAGATCTCCCTTTTACTATCACCAGAGACATCTAGCTATACACAGGTTGCCTAGTGACTAAGCACACTTTCCCCTACCATGCAGAAAAATGGCAGATAGCTTGGACAGATAGGAGCCACAGGAAAAAAGAAGACAGTTTTATTTTCTCCCATTGACCTAACAACTTAGAGATTCTTAACATTTTCTACTAATCACGTTTAAGATTATAGTTGAGCACATAAGATCCCTCTTCTTAGATATTACCAGAATTTAGCCTTTAGTTAATTCATTTCCCCATTAGTCACTTCCCTTTTGGATTGCAAATGATAATTAACAATTACTGCCCCTCTATATGATTCTTATCACCCATCCATTTGACCCTGGAAGCCTGGCTTTGCACTGCCAAGGAATTACTGCTTGTAAGTGTATATATACCAGGACTCCCAGGGCATGGAAAGGATGGAGAAGATGATTTGTAAAAATAAATGACTAGACTAAGAGCTCAGTGTGCTGAGATTCTATTTCCTGAAAATAGTCCTCTCATTCACAGTTCTCTCTCCTGAGCCCCTGGGATGTATAATATTAAGGCTGGTCCTTCTAATATTATACAAGACTTTACAGATTGCCATTCCACCCTCCAAGAATAGTTTTCTGTAGGAAGTACTGGAGATCAACTGGACTAACACATCCTTTGTATCTGTACTTCTATTGGTGAGTGAATGGTCCTAGTTGATGGCCATGGTTCTGGTTTGTCTATTGAAGTGCTCTCTGTTTCCCTCACAGAAATACGACCTGGATCTTTTCCGAATGGCCCTGCCTTGTCTCAGTGCTATTGCTGGCGCCTTGCCACCAGACTACTTAGATACAAGAATCACAGCCACACTGGAGAAACAGGTCTCGGTGGATGCAGATGGGAACTTTGACCCAAAACCTATTAACACCATGAAGTAAGTTTAGAGACAATACTAAATTATTTCTATGTTTTGTATAATAGTTAATATCTTTCTTCAGACTGTAATAGAAACTCTCATTTTTCCCTTTCCCTTCTGCCAACCCTGCTCATCATCCTCTTTGATACTACAAGTCACACCAGAAACAAGTTTAATCTATCCATTTCTGATTTTATATATATATATATATGTGTGTGTGTGTGTATATATATATGTATATATACATATGTATGTATATATATTCTGATTTTATATATTGCTTATGTATATTCCAGGCTTTTTGGAGGGATTTAATATGAAACAGACTCACAAAAATAAATGTTGTCTGAGGCATTAAGATGCCTACCCACCCTGATAAATGATATGATTAATTTATTAACAAATTTTTGACAAAAATCTTTACTCTTTGTAAATTGGGCCTATACAGATATAATAACATCAAAATAGCTTCATAGTAGCAGAAGAACTTTAGCAATTCCTCAAGGTGACAGCTGAATACTTGAGGTCCTTCGAGAGGTTGGATCTGCTCTTTGCCATACTAAAGAATACTAGATTTTTGGAGTCACCCTATAGCAATGCCTTATCATTTCTTCCCATGAGTATCCAGAATCCTTTACTGATACTCAAAAAACCAACAGATGCTCGCATCTAGTGTGTTTAGCCTTGGGACAAATTGCTGTGTTAAATTTCCAAGCATCCCTCCCCAGTTCTGAGTATGTGTGCAGGGGCAACTGACTTCATCCCTGGGTACATTTTAATGAAGAGTACAGAACTCTTCAGAATGACCTGAGAAATAAGCACAATCCCATATGATCCCCCTTGGACTTCTGTTTGATGGCAGTGGCTTTCGAATAGGAGCCTAAGCGCTTCCTAAGACTATCTGCTCTGCTAAGGTATAAAATTCATCATTGGGATAATTCCATTGGACGAAGCCTTGAGTGAGAGGATGATGAGAAACAGAATTGGAGATAAATGATGTGGTAAAAATGGAAGCTCAGGCAAGAAAAGAAAGCATGTACCGGCTTTAGAAAAGTTTGCCTTATAAAAATGGAAGCATGGAAAAAGATATGAAAGCAAATGATGTGGTGACTGGATATGGTACAAACATATCTAGCAACTGTATGCCAATGCTGAGTGGCTCCGTGGCATTGTGAGAACTCTTGTTGCTTCAGACATACCTTTGACATCAGCAAATTGAGTAATGTGAGTGCTAAAGACTGGTCCCATTTCCAAAATCAAAAAGCCCTGATTACCAAGGCACCAGGTCATAACCAGAACCTAATAAAAATCTAATGAGCCAGGCCTCCCCAAGGACAATGACAATCTTCAGCTGTCTCCACTGGATGAATCACCTTGAGCTTCTTGCTGCCCTTGTCTCATCGAACTCTAGATTCAAGTTCCAGGGAGAGTGAATTTGATCCATCTATTCATATGCCTGACCTTGATGGCCACGCACCTAACATATGCAGTACCAGAAGCCCATATGATACACAGGAGAATGAAGAGTGGGTGAGCACTGCTAGGCGAAGAGTGATGACAGGCATCTACTGTATTTCCAAAATCCTAGCTGTAATGAATCACTAATTCAAAATAATAGTCAACCAGTATTTTGTAACATCTGACCCTCCAGCTGCACATTCTGCTGTTCTCAGACTGGAGCTATAGGATGACAAGATTCCCATTGACAGAGACCAGAGCTGGCTTTGAAATCACAATGATACTTCGGGAGCCAGGAGGGCTCAGAGCAGCTGGAGGGAGGCCACCTATGTGCAGATGTTTCTGCAGAGAAATCTTGTGATCAGACCTGGGTGGTGCCTGGAACACAGCACTGATCTTGCCTACCCTGCTCAGCAGTGTCGCTGTGTCTAAAGTAGCTTAAGCTGTGAGATTAGCTGTTAGCAAATTCTGCTAGAGGTAGCAAATTGTTCCTTCTACCCATCTTTTACAGTATCTAGCTAAAATGCTTATGGGGGCTGTAATTCTTTTCTCTCAATTCACAGTTTTTCCTTGCCTGAAAAATTGGAATACATTGTCACCAAGTATGCTGAGCATTCTCATGATAAATGGGCCTGTGACAAGGTAGGGATTATCAGCTGATTGACAATTGTCAGGGAGGGGGGAAAAAAAGCCCAAGAACATTATTAGGTCGGATCCTGGAAATCTGCCTGATTTGTCTAAGTGACAGAGTCTCCATGCCAAGAGCATTCATTGTTTCTGGGCAGCAATTTCTCAGGGTTGGTAGAGGTCAGAGAAATAGGCATTGGCAGCTGCTGGTCTGCATTTGAAGTGTTCAAGAAAATGAACAATTCTGGAAATGTTGACAGCTTTTTTATCATTGCATTGCCTGGAGTTTATGCCCAAGCATGCACTTGTGTGTGTTTAACATAAATGTTTCATCGGGGTGGGAAGATGGTTATTAAATTTTTTCTTTGAACTCAACATTTGGAAAGAAGAACTAAAATTGAAAACCTCACTCTTGTTTTTGCTTGGGAAGCTGAATTGTATCCCAGGAAGGCCACATGAGGGCCTTCCTTTGGTGGGTGCCACTAGGACTTCTAGGCACTTGGTCCATCTGCTGTTTGAAATCCCCACCACCACCACGTGAGGTCAGGATGCTCAATAAGTTTAATTGCTCTGCCAAAAACATGCAGGATTGGAGCAGGCAGGCAGTGAAGGAATGGGTCCACTGATCAGCTTACAGCTTGTCGCAGTGGATGCATTTTAAAGGCAGGGTCATAGAATGTCACCTCCCTATAGTACAGTCACAGATAAGGAAAACCAGGAGCCACCACCTCAGCTCTGTGTGGATCTGTGCTCAGCTCTTATCTCCTCAAGGATCCCCACTTACACTGATGATAACAACCAATGAACTTTAGAATGAGCTATAACTCATGCTTGTAGACCAAGATTGAAAGCCTCTTCTGTGTGAAGGCCATGATAATAACCAAATAATCAATAATGAAATGGATAATGAACATTTGCAGTTCTGTGGGTCAGACAGTCTCCATGGCAATGACTCATTTCCACTGTTATAGCACAAAAGTAGCCACAAAACATTGACAACAAAAGGGGGCCAATGTGCCAATAAAACTTTATATAAGAGAAAAAGGGACTAGAGAGATGGCTCAGTGGTTGCTGCTCTTCCAGAGGACCTGAGTTCAATGCCCAGCACCCACATGGCAGCTCACAACTGTCTGTAACTCTAGTTTCAGGGGATCCGATACCCTCACACAGACATATATGCAAGCAAAGCACCAATGTACATAAAAATAAATAAACCATTTTTAAAAAGGAAAAGAAAAGGTAGCCAGCTGGACTTGCTTAGTTTAGAATCTAGAGCATATGGGTTTTCTTATTTCTTCTCAGTGTGGCCATTTGCCAAACCATGGCTTAGGGAGAAGAGGTATCTGTGAATCTACAGCCATAGCTAATCCATCTTTAAACTGTGTATTTTACCTCTTCAACTCTTTATGAATTTCTACAGCACTCTCTGTCCCCATGATATGACTTCAGTCCCAGCTGCCATCATCTTTGGCCCAGGCCACTATCATCTCCTGGCTGGCCCCCTCATAGGCATTTTCTCCAGTCTTTTTTGCAAACCACAAGCAAGTAATTGTTCCAGTACGCATATTTGGTCACATGGTATCAGTGCTCCTCCTGTCCAGCCCCCATTCCATCTTAAAATTCTTTAATAAGCTCTAATTCTTCTTAAAGGTCAAAACCCCCACATGGACCAGCAGGCCCTGCCCTGCCTGAGTCTCATGAGATCTCCCTTTTCTCTCTGCCCATCAGGCTCTTCCTGTACTTTTAGACCCTCTGTCACACCCATGTACACAAAACACTTCCCTGGCTGAGCAAGGTGGTCACTTGCCATCCCTACCTCATCCTGCAGGTGTCGGTCTAAGCATTCATTCCTAGGCTGAGACTTCTAATTTTCTTATATGCAGGCCATCTTAGTGCCTTATTCTTCTCCTTCATAGAGTTTTTCAAGTCATCTGTATATAAAAACATTAACATAATTTATGATAGTTGCACATTTGTACATCTGGCTCTGTCATCAATTATATATCTACTTGTGTAGTTATTTGATCATTATCTCTCCCTGATACCTACGTGAGGCTTCATGAGAGTAAGGATATATGCCTGCTCACCATTGCCCAGAGGTTCTGATTCCTCCCACCCGAAGAACCTCTTCCTGGGGCTGGGAAGAGAGCTCAGTAGTTAAGGGTGCATACTACTATTACAGAGGTCACAAATTCAGTTCTAGTACCCAGGTCAGGCAGTTCACAACTGCGTATAACTTCAGCTTTGAGGGACTCCATCACCCTCTTCTGACTTCTGAGGACACTGAACTCACACGTACAAACACATATTTAAACATTTTAAAGTACCACTCTTCCTATGGGAGAAATAGAATTATGCAGCCACAGTGGTACAGGTTGTGTGGTTCTGTGATAGGCACGAGCATAGGGTTAGAACATATAGGAATACCAAATTCCACAGTGGTAACATTTACAGATGGGCAGGCATTCATCACATTCATTGCAGAGAAAAAGATGAGCTTTTTGCTGGGTTAGCACATGCAGACCAAGAGAGGCCAGAGAGGGTTTATTGGCTTTGGGGAACCACATAGCTAGAACATGGAGTAGGGCAGGGTAAGAAGGGTGGGAGATGAATATGGAGAGGTTTACAGATTTAGAAACCATGGGAGTTTCCATTTTTCCCATGGTGGCAGGTGACAATCAGAAATCATAAGGGAATAGAGTTCTCTAGCAGGACGATTGGTGACTATTACCTAACAATAGAGAAAATGAGTCCATGAATAGGTGGCAAGATTGGAGGTGGTGGGGGCTGAGAAAGCTCTTGCAGTCACCCAGGTGAGCTCATACTAAGAAGGAAGCTGGAGAGAGGCGGGCAAAGGAGTGGCCTAGGAGGCAGAGAGATGTGAGGTGTGCAGAGTAGAGTCAACAAGGACCCCTTGTTACAAGATTAAAAACTGAGCAGGAGCTCAAGAGGGGCAACCCCCTGGGGTAAAGGAACCCAAGAACAGGAAGCATTGGAAGAAATAACTGGTGGTTCTCTTTAGACACCCTGGTAACACGTCAAGCCGAGCTCATACTATTTGGAAATTAGAAGTCAGCTCTGCTCTAGAAATGCTGATCTGACATCAGTCATCAGTGGTAACTGAAACTACAGACCTAGATTAGAGCACCCAGGAAGTATGTGCCTCTTGGGAAGGGAAACTTGGGAAACATGTACTTTTGACAAATAGGTAGAGGCAGAGATTGAGAACAGATGAGTAGCTGGGAGTATTTGGGTTTTGATGCTGGGGAAGTCGGGGATCCTACTTAGTTCTACATCCACAGTGCTCCAGACTCCTACTGAAGAAGGCACCCACTAGTGGTGTTTTACGGTCTTGAGCTTCTGCAACCCTAAAAAGCATGCACTGCCGTGAGTTTGCCAAGCAGACCCCTCTTGGGGGCCGGTGGTAGATCTGGTCCCCTCTGACTTCTGCCTACTGATCTGACTGTGAGTTTGACACACTGTCCTGAGGTACAGTGTTCTCAGTGTCTTTTGAAACAGCCTTCTAAGTGGTCCTAAAACTTACAAGCGAGAAAGTAAAAAGGACGGCAGCTGGAACAAGAAGGATTGCAGGAACAAAGGTCAGGATTGGGGAGGCACAGACTTGACAGCCTGAAAGGAGCAATTAGACATTTGCTAAGGGACTCTTTAATCTCTGTCATGATCCATTATGCTACCTGAGAAAACAGAAGCAGAGATCTAGGTCATCTAGCAGGCTCTTTGTTTGAACTGAGAACATTTCTACAGAGCCACAGTGGATGGAAATATGGGATTTCCCTGGATGAAAATGTGAAGACCCACCCATTGATACGGCCCTTCAAGACACTAACAGAGAAGGTAAGAAACAGGATTTGTGACCATGTGGCCTGCTATGTCCTTCCTTGGGGATTGTATCAGACAATCCACCCCTCTCACGATCCGTAGCAGCTTCCATGAACTTCCCACGCCCCAACTTCACATTCTGGCCTTCGGCTCTGAGAAACCACGTGTGAAAGAAACCCTGGTCAGCACTGGCAGATGGCCCCAAATGCACTGAGTTCCTCCTGCAACTGAACCAGGAAGGGGTTTTATTAGACTGTTAGACTGTTGAGCCAGGATGGAGAAATTTGGAGAAAAAGATTTAAACAGAAGAGATTTCTACTACGTGGAGGATAGTAAGAATGGAAAGTCCCTGTGGGAGCAGAAACAGGCCTCTTGTTCTTCCTTTCTTTCCTTCTTCCTTCCTTCCTTTCTTTTTTAAGTTAAGTAGTATGGTTCATCTCAACTCTGAATTCTGGTCTTACAATCAATAGGTGTTCTCTGTAAGCTTAAGTTTAGTGTCCTATGTAAGGGATGACATATACATCTTTAACTGTTGACCATTCATGAAATTGGGCATACATCAAAAGAATTCTAAGTTCTGTTTCTCGGGACCAAGGAAGAGCTCAGTGCAAATGCGTTTTGACAATGTCTCATCTTAAACATAAGACACAATGAGTTCTTTCCTGGCCCTTCACTTCTTTATAAACAATAGACAATGTCATTGATAATGGTGCTTTATTTCCCCTAATAAAAAATACTATAGGCTTGGGATCTTATATTCAAAAGCATCAGAAAGACTATATGTTATACACAAGATGCTGCAGATGACATTTTGACCTTGTGAGGGGAGGGTGGAGCAAACTGTCTCCTCTGTGTGCTGTGGGGAAATGGCAAGAGTGTGTTCTGCATGGCTCTTCTGGGCAAACTTCCTCTAGGAGAAGGAAATTTATCGCTGGCCTGCCAGAGAATCCCTGAAAACCATGCTTGCTGTGGGCTGGACAGTGGAAAGGACCAAAGAAGGAGAAGCTTTGGTTCAACAAAGAGAGAATGAGAAACTTCGATGTGTGTCCCAGACCAATCAGGTACAACTGCCGCACTCAGTAGGCAACACTTGGCCAATAGAAACCATGACGGATCTAGGAAAACTCTCCCTGGGATATGGTGATGGGTCCACCCAAGGTGAACAGTGGGTTTGGGGAAGCCATGTGTTTGATAACCTAGTAATTGCTTCTGTTCTCCTAGGGTAATAGCTACAGCCCTGCTCCACTGGATCTCTCAAATGTTGTACTGTCCAGGGAGCTCCAGGTCAGTGCCGACCCAGATGCAGAACATTAGTGCTTTTTAGACCTTTCCAGTACAGGGCATGTTACCCTCTGAAGAATAAAAGGAGAAAAGCAGAGAGTGTGCCTAGAACATATTTCCACTAAAATATTAAACCTAAAGAAGGTTGTGTTGTGCCAAGGCTATGGGGAAAACACCAGAGAATTAGCCAGTCATCAAACAAGGGGAAACTGTGCTTCCAAGAGTACCATAAAGGGTGACAATTTGGTAAAAGGAAGAAGAGTCAGCAAGGTCCTCATGTCAAACTCCCAAAATAAAATAAGGGAAACTCAGTGAAATACAGCACCTGGATGGAAATACTTGCATGGTCCTTGTTAATTTCACAAGCCAGGAGGACATCCTGCATGTGCCATGGTAGATATGCTCAGTTTCCCCACAATGGTGCAGGAAAGCGATCACTGTTGGACTCAGAGCTGTAAAACCAAATAGATAAAACTAAAAGCTTTGAGGTGCTTCCCTTGACTCTTCTTTTCCTACACGTATCAGTGCCAGTGGCCTCTACTCTAGCCTGGGGTTCTTCCAGCCCCTTGGACCTTAGAGGAAGTTTTTCTAAAGAACATCCTTTGCTCTAGGTCAGAGCTGTATACACCTTATAGAAAGATTCATTCTATTTGATAAATCTCAGTGACAGCAGTTTCCAGCAAGGTGTGATTTTTTTTTTTTAGTTTGTTTAGTTAAGATTTTCATAGATTGATTTTGACCTGACTCCTCCTGCCCAGCTCCCTATCTTTGGTGAGAAGTATAATAGTAAGATAAATGAGGTACTGGCAATGTGCAGCTTTGGCTGGAAATGGGTGTTTTCTCCTGGATGCATTCAACCGCCAGGATAATAAGTTGCAAAGGAAGGGCAGAATTCGAAATTGTTTTCTATGTATGGGATGATATAAAGCTAATGAGGTGTGCCACACAGAATAATTAATAATGGTAGACCTCCAGCAGCAGGCGAGTAGCATTTGGTGGTGCTGTTCCAGAGCCTGGAAGATAAAGAGATGGTTTTCTTGCTTGCTCTCTCTCTAACTTGTGTCTCTGGGGTGGGGAACAGGGAATGGTGGAGGTGGTGGCTGAGAACTATCACAATATCTGGGCCAAGAAGAAGAAGGTAGAGCTAGAGAGCAAAGGTAAGCGTGTTTCATAGCATCCCGTGGGGAAAATGAGCTGGGGGGAGTGGTAGCCCCATTTTCCCAGAAGTACAAAGGACAGTTTGTGTTTATCTTTCTTCTTATTCTAGGTGGTGGCAGTCACCCTCTTTTGGTACCATATGACACCTTGACTGCCAAGGAAAAGTTCAGGGACCGAGAAAAAGCACAGGACCTGTTCAAATTCCTCCAGGTGAATGGCATTATAGTTTCTAGGTAAGTCATCATCTTCCCCGTGATATTAGTGGGCCAGGGGAGCTGGGGTGAGTTTGGCTTCACTGCTGGGTATTTAGTGACCCACCTACAAAAACCATTAGAGTAAGGACAGTACTTGACACTTCTGGAAAGGATTATAATGAATGTTTGCATATGCACTCACAAATATTATGTTATAGGTCAAAGCCTGTTCTTTGTGTATTGGTCCAGCAATTGGAGTTATAAACCACATTCATAATACACCCATGACGCTTTAGAATTTAGCCACCTTTAAAGGGAAATGAGAAATTGAAGCACAAGCAAAATAATGTTTGGTATGCTAGATGATTTTTTTTTTTTTTTAGATTTCTTCCCTACCTCTTTTAGATGTCTTGCTAATCCTTAATTCAAAACTATAGTTATAAATTTTAAGCTAGAGATCTTAGCTGTAAAATAGCCAACAACTCTTCCACACTTTGATCTGACTGTTTTATGTTTTGCTAAACTACATAATAATAACAGCAAGCACAGCTCACAGAAGCAGTCTTGGAACCATGGGAATTGATTCTTCTGAAGCAGCAGTTCCTCTGGGGAGATGGAACACATCATGATGTCCTAAGACATTTTTTCACAAATTGGTGAATGTTTTCTATGAAGTTGGCTTGGACTGCTTACTCTTTACGGAGTTTGCTTACTCACTAATCAAATGCCTATGGAGAGCTATATAGCACTGTGCTTGCCGATTTCTTTGTAGAACGAAAAGCCAAGTGGTGGGCCTGCTCTGATACACCCATTCCTCCTAAAGAAGTGTTTGCCAAGCAAGTTATTTCTCTTTTTAATTTCCTAGAGATCTTTTTTCTAGTTAATGCCAAATAAATAAAAACTATACAAATATTTCTATTGTAGTTCATCTGAAGAAAACTACAAAACTTATTTGCTATATTGTCAGGTAGGAAAGGTCATACTGCAGGAGACAGCCCCTGGGAAAGCATTGAGAAAGACTCCCTGCCCTGCTTTAATCCTCTTTTTAACACTAAGATGAATGTGATAAAATTCCTTGCTCACAGAAATGAAAAATTCCCCTTTACTGTAACCAAAAAGGAAGTCAAGGAAATATAATTAGGGATAGATCAAATTCAGCAGCCATATTCTGGGTAGTTATTTGCCATATCTGGGGCCCCACAGGAGACATGAGTGGGCAGATGATCAAGTCAGGCCCCATCACCAGGAAAAAGCCTTCTCTAACTTCACCCTTCCTATCTGCTGGTAAAAGCCTATTTTCAGTTGTTCAAGCCCCAAACCTTGACTGTTGTTCTCTTTGTTCCCAAGCCCCTTCAATCTTTAAGAAAACTTTAATTGTTCTACCTTTAAAACATGTGCAGAATCTACCCACTCTTCACTGCCTTCATGCAATCAGCATCATGACTGAGTGTGTTTCCCACTGGGGCCATCTGTTTTGACCCTTGTTCCCACCCATGTCCAGTTCTAAATGCAGCAGCCAGAAGAGTTGAACATCATGCCATGTCACCGTGCTTCAGAACTGCCAGGAGCAGTTCTCATCTCACTCAAAGAAAAAAAGCAAAGTTCTAATGATTTCCTGCAAAAGCCCTAAATGATTTGCTGTACTTTACATATCCCTTTCCCCTGGGACACCTGCTAACTTCCATTCCACCCACCCTGACCACTCTGCCACACTCCTTCAACCCAGGATGCATCCTGCCTCAAAACCTTTGCACCACTTGTTCCTTGGGGGAATCTTTGCCTGGATGTCCTTATAACTCACCACTCCACCTCCTTAAGCCTTTACTTCCATTCCAGTTTCCCAGTGACCCCAACCCTGATTTCCATACTTCACATCATAGTCCACAAACCTTTACAACCTCATCCTCAGGCTTTTTTATTCCTGCTTTCCTTTTTCTTTTTTTTTTAAATATAACATATTGCTTTTATCATTCCACATAATTTGTATTTTACTTATATGTCTACCTACAGCTAGCATCAGGTCAAACATGTGAGGAATATTTATCTTCTCTCACTTATCTCTAGCTCAATGTTTTTAGTAATAATTATAAAGATCTTTCTGAAGACTCTGTTGAGAAGTCACTTTAACAAAAGTGTTGCGTGTTCACATAGTCGGATCCAAGTGCAAGAGTAAATCAGTCCAATGATGAGTCATTCCACTAAGCCAGAACAACTGTCAACACTGAAAATTAAATTCAACAACATGGGAAGGGTGGGTAATACACCAAAGTCAAGTATTTTTCTCTGCTACTTCTGGGGTTCATCTCTATCCAATCTAGAGGTATGAAGGACATGGAGTTGGATGCCTCCTCCATGGAAAAGAGATTTGCCTACAAGTTTTTAAAGAAGATCCTGAAATATGTTGACTCTGCTCAAGAGTTTATTGCTCACTTGGGTAAGTATAGCTGTAAAACATCAGGAAAAATGGTATTCCTCTGGAAAGAATGACCTAATTATGAATGACCTTCTTGTGTCACGGTAGCTCGTGATTCATTGAGACAAATAATTTGGGTGGAAAACAGTGGCTGAGATTTATTTCCTCCCTACTTAAAAAGTTAGTTTAGATCCTTGAGTTCTCTGCTGGATTTGACTGGCTCTCTTGTTGATGTTGGTGCTGTCGTTGTTGTTATTTAATGCGACTCATCCTATTAACTTTCCCATGCTTTGTGACTATGGACATCACTGAAGCCCCTTCAGAAAAGGAGAAAGACAGCGGTGAGAGAATTGGCATGAGACACACCCAGCCAACACAGTCACAAAGCACTTTATAAAACTTTATTTCATGAAAGCAACTAAGTTTGTTGGTTGTCTTTTGAAAAGCCGCTCTGCTTCGAAAAATACTGTGACTGTTCATTTGTTTGTTTGCTCTGACCAAAGTGTGTTACCCCTGTCTTTGTAGAAGCCATTGTCAGCAGTGGGAAAACCGAAAAGTCTCCCCATGACCAGGAGATCAAATTCTTTGCCAAAGTAAGTGTTTCTCCTTTGCTCAGGATCTCTACTACTGGGGGTGTAGTTTAAAGGGGTCCATCAAGAAGATTTAACACTCCAAAAGCTTCAATGAGACAGAGGTATATTCCTCAGCTATAGAGCAGACCCAGTGTGGGTAGGAGTTCCAAGAAAGGATGCAAACTGCTCCCCTCCACACAGTAGCCTCAGGACTCAGGATCCTCCTCCCTTGTTCTGTACCATCTGTAATGGTGTACTTTTTGTTACTGAGGTCCAAACAAGGTCACCTTCATCCTATCTGTAGCAAAGGGATGTGTAAAGGAAAGGGGAGGAGAGAGCTTGCTGCTGCTTTTCTGAAGTTTTAACCGCGTGGTACAAGTGAACCCTTTTAGCTTACTCTGGCTACAAGGAAAACTGCGTAAGGTACTCCCTGCCTCAGTGGTCCGATGTCTCACTAAAATCTGTTGCTGCAAAGAGACAATGCATTTGGGTACCAGTGATCTATGTTGCCCATAGAAGCCTGCTCAGAGGACAAAAAAACCTTTCAATGTCTTTGAAGCAGAGATAGATGTTTCAGGTGAGGACTCAGTCATACCTGAGTGTACCTTTTGATGCCATGGCCAAGACGGCAATCTGAGTTCCCCAGGTGTCCTCTTCAAGTCAGATCATGGTCATGCAAGCTTATTTATGCCTTTAGTTAATGTCCTTTCCTGTCACATAACCTCAACACCTCTGGTTGGAGCACAGAAATAATAATAATAATAATAATAATAATAATAATAATAATAATAATAATAATGCAAAGTGAAACCCAGAATAGAATTTTCTGGAAGTCTACAGCCAGTGTTGAGAGGCTTTTGCTCACTGAGAATGACTTTTTTTAAAAAAAAGGAACTGGCAGATAGACTTTGATCTGCTACCTTAAAAATGATGTTTGATGGTTTCCAGGTTCTCCTCCCGCTGGTTGACCAGTACTTCACCAACCACCGCCTTTACTTCCTGTCTTCTCCTCTGAAGCCACTTAGCAGCAGTGGGTATGCTTCCCATAAAGAGAAAGAAATGGTAGCCAGGTGAGCCCATGGAATCAAGAGAGGCCCTCTATGTTAGTCAGCTTGGAGTTACTGTAACAAAATGTCTGATATAAGTAAAGCTAAAAGGCTTATTTAGCTCCTAGTTCTGAAGTTTCATGTCCAGGATGAGTAGACACTTTTCTTTGATCCTCTGGTAGGGGGTCCAGATGGCAGTGATGGGGAGCTCACTGTGAGGCAAACTGCTCAGCTCATAGACAGAAGTCAAAAATGGCAGGATCCTAAGATCTCCTTAAGGGCATGTCCCATTGACCTAAAAACCTCCCACTCAGCCCCATCCCCCAGGCATCCCTAGCCTCTCAGTATCCCAGCAGCAATACCCTAGAGACAGAGCTTCTAACACATGGGCCTTGGGAGGATATTTCTTCAAACTGCCATTCTCATTGCAAATGTGGTTTATATAAGACATCAGCTACCTGGGGACTGAATCACAAGTTCTTTGTAGAAATGATGCATAACCTGATGATTAGTAATTGATTACCATCTTGATTTGAAAATCTTTTATATTTGTGTATATCTTGGTGATCTTAGGAACTAATAGAATTGCACTCTTCGGGGTGTTCATAGGGGCTTGGGAAACATGCAGATACACAGGTCAATTACCCTGAAATAATGTTGAGAAGAAGGCCAAGACCCTTCTGAAGCTTGGGGGAAATTAAACACACAGCACTAAGGTATACACTGCTTTCTGTCACCTCCTTATCAAGTATGCAAGATTAGAATTTTTAAAACACAGCTCTTACAAGTCTGAGATTTGAAAGATAGAACTATATGATTCAGTCTAAATGTTTATTCAGATGTCTATTCAGAGATGAAGGGGTGACTCACTGGGTCACCTGCTGCTCAAGCATGTGAACCTGAGTTTGGATCTCAGCATCCATGTAAAAAGCTGAGTGTGGCTGCATGTGCACCTGTAACTCTGATGCTATAGGGGGCTAAGATAGGAGAATCACTGGAGCATGCAGGCCACCAGGCTAGCTCCACCGTTAGTGACAGACACTGTCTCTAAAGGAGTAAGGTAGAGAGTGATAAAACACTAGACATCCTCCTCTGACAGCCAGATGCACAGACATGCACATACACACACACACACACACACACACACACACACACACACACACACACACACACACTCACACACACTCACACATCAGCCTACCGTCCTCTAGACATAAGGTAGGAATACCTTAATGGACCTTAACACAGGGGAAGCTTCGTAATGAGAGGTGCCTCTAACATGCTTCAAGTTCTCTTTGTTTGATCAATAAAAGGCCAAGTGTGGATTAGACTTCCAAATAGCAAAGTAAAGAGGATAGTGAAAGTCTAAATACTCTCCTTTGACAGACAACATAAACGTTGTCCTGGATAAGAGCTCTGCCACTATCGCACTTTTTGGGAGTATATTCAGCTTGAAGATTTGCCTAACATTTACTAAACACTCTGTATGGGATGGGCACTGAGATTAATTTTCATGTGCAAGAGTTATTGCCCATCTGAGTAAATATGGTTGTGAGCCCTCACAATGTGTTAAACTGAAAGTCCTACCTGTGTCTTACAGTCTTCATTTTATAAATCAAGACTCTGAGCATGTAGCTTCACTCTAGTACCCATAGGTGGTTAAGACTGAAAATTCAGTCCTCACGACATTGCGTGTCTCTTCTGTACTGTGATTACTTAATGTCACTCAAGACAGAAGAAACCCCATGCTGCCAAAACAGGATACTTTGGAACCAGGTACTGACCCCAAGACCTTATACCTTGAGATTGAACTAATGTGTTCTCTAAGAAGCTAGGGAAATGAAGGGCCATGTGAGACATTCAGATAATCCAACAGAGGGCAGCTGTGTCTGTTTTCTTCATCTGTTGATCTTAGACTATTAATTCATGGAAATGTAACATTTGTTCAACCAGGCACCATTTGTCGTGGCTGGAATACAACCTAGAGCTGATCAGCCTTGCAAATAGCTTCCAAATCCACCCATGAGCTGGTGTCTCCCACAGAAGCAGTGGTGTTTGTGCTGCACGGGTTTGCCCTGCCAGACTCTTCCCCCTCCTTTCTCTTACTCTTTCCCCCACTTTGGTTTTCGTGCAGTTTCACCCTAACAGACTCTTTTCTTCTTTCTTTCCTCCTTTTCTTTTACTCTTTTTTTCCTTTGCTTTTTTTTGGGGAGGGGGTGGCTGGGAGGTTGTTTGTTCATTTGTTTTTTGAAACAGGGTCTCAATACGTAGCCCTGGCTGGCCTACAATTCACTATGTAAGTCAGGCAGGCCCTGAATTTACAGAAATCTGCCTGCTTCTGCAAAATGCTGGGATTAAAGGGCCAACTCATGGTTTTGGTTTTTTGGTTTTTTTGTTTTTCTTAAAGACAGAACCTCCGCAGCCCAGCCCCAGCTTATACGAAAGCTACCAATTCTCTTGCCTCAGTCTCTGATACCCACTAGATTCCTTCTTATTGAATCCTTTGTCCTTGGTCCACCTCATCTTTAATCTGATGCCTTTCACAGCGTGGAGTTTCTAGGCACGAAACATTTCTTTTGGAATAATTTCATTTTATCTCTTTATCTTTATTTTTTTTCTTTTTGAGATAGGGCCTCTCTTTACAGCTCTGGGTGTCCTGGCTAATAAGGTTTGTGCCACCATGTCACCAAGTCAATCTTTAACATTTTTAAACTCTGAGAGGGCAGAGAGCCACCCAGGAACTGTAACCCTTTATTGTTTTGAACTAAAGGTAATTAATTGTCTTAATTGGGGTATTATTTACTGCTGTGATAAAACACCATGATCAAAAGCAACTTGGCGAGGAAGGATTTATTCCATTCTACACTTCCAGGTTAACAGTCCATTATCCAGGGAAGTCAGGACAAGAACTGAAGGCAGGAACCTAGTGGCAGTTACTGAAGCAGAGGCCATGGAGGAATGCTGCTTTTGGCTTGCTCTTCATGGCTAACTCAGCCTGCTTTCTTATACACTCAGGATCACCCACCCAGGAATGGAAGCCACACATCATGCTTCCACGTCAATCATTAGTCAAGAAAATGCCCTACAGACTTGCCTACAGGCCCATCTTATGGGGTCATTTTATCACTTAAGATTCCCTCTTTCCAGACACGTCTCTGTTTGTGTCAAGTTGACAGAAACTAACCCTACAGTGATTCTTTTATTTAAATCATGGACTCTTGAGAGACTGCAACAACTTTTTGAAATTTCAGGTGCTGTCATTTGCCAGTCTGAGAATACACTTCTGATTTCTTTTTTTTTTAATTTATTTATTTTTTTTATGTACACTAGTGTTTTGCCTGCATGTATGTCTGTGAGGGTGTCAGATCTTGGAGTTACAGACAGTTGTGAACTATCATGTGGGTGCTGGGAATTGAACCCGGGTCCTCTGGAAAAGCAGTCAGTGCTCTTAACTGCTGAGCCATCTCTCCAGTCCCACTTCTAACTTTTGACAGTGAGGGGAGCCACTTCAGTGTCTGATCCTAATAGCCCAACCACGTGCTTTAGGTAGAAAGAGCATTTGCTTTCAGTTTCTACAAAATGTGTGCTCATCCACTTGAAGTGTTTTCAAATTTCTGAGTTCTCCAACTTTTGTAAAAGAGCTGTTTGGTTACAGATGAGAAAGCCAACACAGAGCAGAGAGCATTGAAGGATCTTCACCAAGACAGCCTAGTTATTCACAGGCCAAGCACAGAACTAAGCCATCAACAACACAGGCTGCACTGTTCGATACTTTCTCCCCATCCAGCTCCATGAATTCACATCAAAAAACAGAAGCCTGTATTAGTTTCGCATTAGCTGCCAAATTTCCATTTACTCACTATGAATTCTCTTAAGCTCTAAACCAGGGAGATTCTGACTTATTTTCACTCATCAATGGTGACATTGGCTGTAATTTTCCAAGATAGCCCAGAAAAATCCAGGACATTAACAGAGGTTATCATCCCTTAGATTGATGGGGTTTCATCAACCAACACTAGGGGTGCATTTCTTCTCTGTTTGAGTAGTCCTAAGGAGACTTCTGTCCTGTGAGAGGTAAAGATCTCCATGACAAGTTATGACTGTGAGCCCATGACTCCAGCTGAGTCTCATTGCAGAGCTTCATGGTCTGCACCACTGTCTTATCCCTGCTTTCTCTATTCGCCCTCTTTCCGTCCCCCCTCGTCCTGAAGGGAATACAAGTTCTTATCAAGCCACACTAGCACCAAATGTCAGAGTTCAAAAGACTCTCCTCCAAAAAGTATCAGCCACACATGTGGACTGTAGTCACAGTACCCCTGGGTGGGGTCAATTGGCAGCATACTCAGAAACATCTACAGGGCTCCTTCCTAACTACACAAGGCCTTCCCGACTACAACTGAAGTATAGTTCAACTTCAAGGGTCTCCATGGTGTAAAGTATAAGTGAAGCACAGCGAGGAGTCAGACATACAAACAACAGCAGCCATAGTAATAGTAATAATAATAATAATAATAATAATAATAATAATAATAATAATTGCTTCCAAGTTCCCAAGGACCCAACTAGGGCAGACTATAGACTAGCAAAAGATAACAGCAGGAATGGACTTCTTTTTTTTTTAACTTTTTATTGATTCTTTGTGGATTTCCCATCATGCATCCTGATTCCACTCATCTTCCCATCTTCCCACTTCTGCCCTCTGCCCTAGCAACCTCCTTCCAAAACCAAACTTAAAAGTAAAATTTAAAAAAAAAATTTTCAATCTCAGCGTAGAAACTGTAGCGTGGCCCAGTGAGTCACACAGTGTACCCTTTAGTCTTTACTTGGACGTGTTCATTGCAATGAGTCATTGGTCTGGTTCGAGGCCTCTGGCTTCTGTTACACACTCGATACTGGGCCCTCACTGGGACTCCTCTTGGACATCCTATTATTGTCTTGTGTCATAAAGATCCTGTAGCTTTGAAAAATGTACTTCTTAAAATGTTTTTATATTTAAAAGACTCCTACTCCCTACTCTAACCATTAACATTTTTTCTAATCCTGACACTTTTTTCCACCTTCCAACTAAAGCTTGAAGGCGGCAAAATGATTTACAATTCATTGCAATGATAGAGAAGCAAGGTGCCTTTTAGGGTCCTCATCTTTTTTCCTCCATGTTACATGAATGTACATTTCAACACATGGTACCTAGCACCAAGGAAAGTTTGCACAGGGCCACTGCCAAGTACTCTTCTCTGTTGTTGGTTGTTTTTGCTCTTTTGGGGGGCCCACCACCCAGCTTCCAAATAAATCACACATGGAGGCTTGTTCTTAATTATAAATGCCCAGCACTCGGGAGGCAGAGGCAGGCGGATCTCTGTGAGTTCAAGGCCAGCCTGGTCTACAGAGTGAGATCCAGGAAAGGCACAAAGCTACACAGAGAAACCCTGTCTCGAAAAAAACAAAAACAAACAAACAAAAATTAACCCTTCTACCTTTTACCTCTGGGCTTTTCCCTTTTCTTCTGTAATCTTACTTTCACTTTTACTCCATGGCTGGTTGTGTAGCTGAGTGGCTGGCCCTTGATATCCTCCTCCTTCTCTGGCTACTTCTTTTTCTTCCCAGATTTATTCTGTTTGCCTGCCAGCCCTGCCTATCTTTTCTCCTGCCTTGCTACTGGCCGTTCAGCACTTTATTAGACCATCAGGTGTTTCAGACAGGCACAGTAGCACAGCTTCACAGAGTTAAACAAATGCAACATAAACAACAGTAACACACCTTAAAATAGTATTATACAACACTTCTCATTACAGAGGGATTTTTTTAGTAGGGTGGAGCTGCCTGCAAGGAACCTTTCATGATTTTTCACAAAGACAGTATAATATGAACTACATTATTTCCCTAAGTGTGGTTCCAAAGACTCTTCCAGAGGACATGGTACATCTTCCTAAAGTTCCAGTCTATGCACTGTTTCACATGTGAGGGGTGGAAGAATGGGGTAAATTCACTTCTTGAGTTTCTGGGGCTTTCTGAATTGCAACCTTTTCTGCTTTAGCCTGTTCTGCAAGCTGGCTGCTCTCGTGAGACACAGGATCTCCCTCTTCGGTAAGTGAAGGGATGTGTTGCTGAAGGCAGCAAGCCTTCCTGTAATTATCTTGAGCTTCCATTTTGCCTTCATTTGTGGCTCCCTTAGAAAACTTGCACCTTGGGACTGAGGCGTCACCTAAATTTTCTGTAGAAAATTGGTATGAAGCATGATTAATGACCTCTCTACCCCTTTAACAGCTCACATTTTCCACACCAATGAATGTTTTAAGCTCTGCCCGTGACATCCATCATGAAGCAGAGGCTGTGTCAGACTGGAGATAAATGCCTGGTTCCTGAACACAGACCTGGCACTTTGTGTGTTGCTGGTTAATTATACTGGGGTATGCCTGATGCATAGTAAGAAGGCTGCGTTTAAAAGCCAGGCTGGGTTTGGAGAGTCACAGGTGATGTTTTTTATTCTAGGGAGTGATTCAACTACAATGGTGAGCTGCCTTCACATCTTAGCTCAGACACTTGACACAAGGTAAGTCTGATGTTTTCTCTCCAGTCCTTCCTTATGACCACTTCTCTGGCTCCCGAATAGGCAAAGAGGGCCCTAGAAGTCAACACTCCGCTCTCATTCCCACAGTACAGACCTACTGTCATGAACTATCTTAAATCTAAAACAACTGATCTGTTCTTACCTTCTCTTACTGAGTTCATTTGTCAGAAGGTAAAATGTATAACATAGCAACATTCAGTTTGTACCTAATTGTATACACACACACACACACACACACACACACACACACACACATATGCACGCACAAGTAGAGATATCTGGTAGGTGGTGAAACCCTCATCATCCTGAGAGATGAACAAAATCATTTTGTGTTCAACATGGCCAGGAAAATGACTTCAAAAGGATAATACAGGAAGCCAGGGAAAGAGTCCAGCAGATAAAGGTGCTGATACCCCAGGTTCACTTACTGTGACTCATGTAGTAGAAGGAGAGAATTAACTACCAGAAATCGTCCTCTGGTCTACACACCTACACACATACATATGCATAAATAAATAAATATAATCATCAAAATACATCAGCTAGCTGGTGAAGTAATATATGCCTATATTCTTAGCATGTAGAAGACAGAGACAAAAGGATGCCAAGTTTAAAACCAGTCGTGGATTTATAGTAAAACCCTGTTTAATAAAAATGAAAGATACAGAAAGGATGGCTGAACAAGAAAGAAAATTTTATTTAAAAAATACATAATTCTGGTAATATTAACTTACATGATATTTTCAAAGAGAGTAGTAAAAAGACCCAACAGGAGTTCTTTTGAACATGTTTATTAAGAAAAGTCCTTATGCTGCATGTGGTGGCGCATGCCTCTAATCTCAGTATTCAGGAAGCAAAGGCTATATAGTGAGACTGTCTCAAAAAAACCTAAATAATAATAATAATAAGGTCATTATCAGAATCAGGAAGAGGACATGCCCTTCAAGATCCAATGCAAAAGAGAACCACCTTCTAAAGAGAGTGACGCAAAGATGGCAATCTGTGACAAACTGAAGCCCATGAAAAACAATAAGGGTTATAGAGGCTCAGTGGGTAGAAGCACTTGCCCTCCAAGAATGGGGACAGGAGTTCAATACCCCAGGACCCACATAAATGTCTAGGGGTTGCAGTGACTCATCAGCACTCACGAAGACACAGGATACCCAGAGCAAGCTGGCTAGCTAGACTAACCAAATTACTGAGCTCCGGGTTCAAATAAGAGACCTTGCTTCAATATGTAAGATGGAAAGTGATCAAGAAAGATACCCATCATCTGGCCACCACACCACACAGCATACACATGCAAAAGGGTGCAGATCATTACAGGAGATCTCTGGTCTTCAAGTTGTACGCAAGGGTGTTTATAAGAAATCAGAGTGGCCAGGGTCTGTACCAAAAGATGGCAGAGGCTGGGTACAAGTCAGCGTTGTTCTTGGTAACATTTGCCAGTCACCCATTGCAGAAGCAGTGTTCAGAAAATTGGCAACTGATGAAAATGTTTCAGTTTTCATGGAGGATAGACAGTGCAGCTTCATCCACCTATGAAGTGGGGAACCTCCCTGGCTTTCACGGGCAGAGCTGTATGAGAAAACATGGCATCCCCATGAATCACATTGCATGGCAGATTACAAGAGAAGACTTTGCAACATTCGATTATATACTGTGTATGGATGAAAGAAATCTGAGAGATCTGAATAGAAAAAGTAATCAAGTTAAAAACTGCAGAGCTAAAATTGAGCCACTTGGGAGCTATGATCCCCAGAAACATCTCCTTATTAAAGATCCCTATTATGGCAATGACTCTGACTTCGAACTGGGGGCCAGAAATGCCTCAGGTGCTGCAAGGCCTTCCTGGAGAAGACTCACTAGATGGCCCTGCCCACCACCGTTGAGCAACTCACCAGAGCCATGCCCAAGGGTGGTGGCAGTCCTTAGCCCCATGTCCCACATGTCTTTTCAGCTGACTTACTGTATATCTCTAAAATAACTGCAGGTAGAAATTACATATATGTTCAGAAGGATAAAAATATTGGAGTAAGACAGTTTGAGGTGTGGCTAAGCCTTCTTAGACTAATTGAACCTTTCACCTTGCCCTAATTACAAAATAGTGGAATAAAAAATATGGACAAAATAGAACCCAATAAGTAAAAATGGCCTACAAGGTCCAGGTCAGCCTCTGAGCCCAGCCAGCCTGGTAGTCTGGTCTAACTAGAGTGTGTGCATGACCAACATCCAGTGGTGCCATTTGCTTGCATTATACCTCTATCCTAGACTCTTGTGACAATAACTCCATCCATATTAACATTGGAAGAGTTTAAACTCAGACACACTGAAGACATTCAAATATTCGAAAAAGAGGAGAAGCTGGATGTGATAACGCAGGCCCGCAATTCTAGCAGGCTATCCTGGGCTACACACTGTAGATGGGAGCAACAGACTGATAAAATGAGCATTTTTACTCTTACTTGGTTTTTGTCTAGTGTTTTTGAGCTTTGTTCCTGTTTGAGCCACTTTGCCTCTTCAAAAAAAAAGGGTGCTTTAATAGTGGTATATTTGTAGTGTTCTTTTATCATTTTAAAAAGTTACAGGCAAGTATGAGTAATTTTAGTGCATTTTCAGAAAAGTGACCTCAAATTCATATGGCTATATGTCAGAAAAGAATGTGAGTTAAAGACAACTGAAACAGAAATCTGGTATAAGCCTGCTTTCTTATTGATAAATGAAAAATATATATCTGAAAAAAAGAAAAAGAAATTAGAGCAAGCCTAGCTGATGGCCTTTACTGTCCTGGTATGTTTGATAATTACCAAGAAAACTTTGAAGATAAAGAGCATCTTCCCTTGAAGCAATTCTGTCATCATTTTCTGAAGAAGATACTGAAATGTGGAAGATTATACCTATGATTATAGGTTTTATTCTGATTCTACGTTTTATGAAATAGTTTTGAGGGAAGAAATTAGCTGCTCTTAGCTTAAGTTCTCAGGGCGTGTGTCACTGTCCTTTGCCTCAGTGACCTGATAAAGCTGGCCTTAGAAAGGACTGGCTCTCCCTTTTCTCTCCTCTCATCCAATCTAGGACTGCTCTGCAGACTAAACAGAGTGCAGGCTTCAAGCAACTTCTCTCCTCTCTTCCCCATTCTCCTCCTTCTACATACTACACATGAAGGATCTTGACCCCAAGTGAATTGTGGAAAAGGCTCACTCCTGCCCTTTCCTTAGATAGTAACAGAAGACTAGGCAGCTGCAGCATTTAGCTCACAGAGGAACTAACACCAGTTTCATTCATCTCTATGTGTCCTGAAGAGTTCAGCAATGATCTCTTCAGTTCAGCCAAGCCCATCATTCAGTCACTAACCAGAGAACCATGTAGTGCAGGTTTCTTTTCCAGATGGAAACAGACATCTCCAGTGTACCTGACACAGTCTCATCTGGTGACCAGAGTACCCACTGTCTGCCCAGTTTGCCTACAAGTCACCACCATGTAAGGGGAGGTTGATTCCACGGTCCAGTTGTGCCCCTGCCTTTGACTTTTGTGTCCTTACAGGACCGTCATGAAGTCAGGCTCAGAGCTGGTGAAAGCTGGGTTGCGCTCATTCTTTGAAAATGCAGCAGAAGACTTAGAGAAGACTTCAGAAAACCTGAAGCTGGGGAAGTTTACCCATTCCAGAACGCAGATCAAAGGTGTTTCTCAGAATATTAACTACACCACAGTGGCTCTGCTTCCCATCCTGACATCCATCTTTGAGCACATCGCTCAGCATCAGTTTGGGGTGGATCTACTCTGTGAGTCCTACTGCTGTTTGTCATCAATGTCTATGCACTGCCACAGACAGATGTGAGACCCACTCACTTAGGTTGACCTTGAGGGCAGAGTAGAAAGGCAGATGTCCCATACTTTTCTTAGATTTAAAAAAAAATGAAGTGATAAACTTGAAAAAGGAAAAAAATCCCTTAATTTGAGTATAGAGCATTCATCTTTTCCAATTTCATTATGAACCAGTTTCCCACCTGCTTTTCTAGCTACCAGCTATTACGCTTCCATTTAATTTGAAAGGTTATCTGAGCAATGTGCCTCAGATTCTGCTACCAGGGTTTCCAGACACTGTGCTCCATGTTAAGAATCCTTAATTTACACGTTGGTACCAGGAGCAAAGGAAAGGCTAAAATCTCATCTTTTTTCAACTTGCAGTTGGTTTTATTTTGCTTTGTACTTAGCAGTGTGTCCAGCCCCACCCCCCATCCCCACCATGTTCATGTTATGTCATCAAGCTTCAGTATTGCTTAAACACTGCCATATGATTTAATTTAGTCAGTTGTCAAACTGTGTCCTCCATCAGTTAGTCCCACTAGGTCGGAGTTTTATGTCATAGAAACAAGGCAGTTCCTTGGTTAGAAAATAAAATATTAAATTAGTTCTGGTTTTGTTGAAGTAGTTCTAGCCATAGAATGAGGTCTAGATGTGTCTGGGGGTATGATGCCTGCTGATGACATTCTTTGTGTTCCTTCAGAACTCCCTTCCCTTAGAAAATAAGGGAAGATCATGATACTATTTGGCTAGTTTTTTTTTTAAATGCAGCAGAAAATTTTAAATAAGCAAATTTGAGAACTTGCTCTCTCTCTCTCTCCACCCTTCCCTCTCTTCCTCTCTTCTTCCCCTCTCTCTCTCTCTCTCTCTCTCTCTCTCTCTCTCTCTCTCTGGCTCTTGCTCTCGCTCTCACTCTCCCTCTCCCCCCTTCTTTTCCTCTCTCCTTCCCTTTCTGAATAAAGCATGGCAGTTGTATGGACCTTCTTAGGAAATGATCAAACATGACATGGAAGCTTCAAGTTTTATTCATCCTTTGATCCAAAGGAAGACAATTTCACCCTTGGTAAATTTTGAATATAGTCTTCCTTTATTGGATAAGCGACCTATTATGGAGGCGCCATTGGCCAAATGATTCCTTTCTCCAAGAAGCTTTGTGATCTTGATCAGCAGCTCTGCAATTGACCTGGGCAGCTTTGGTGGAGCACGTTCCTATCAGTGTTTCCCAGCAGCTAGCAAAAGAGTGTCTGGTTTGAAGAGTATTTCACGAGTTTACAGAGGCAGGGAAGAGGGAAAAAGAGAAGTCGTTTGCTCTTGACTGATGCCTGCCTTAATATTTTTCTTCATGGGCTTTTCCATGTGTTGGAGATGGAGCTGGGGTTGACATTTGCTTATGACCTCTCTTCTTTGTTTCAGTGAGTGACGTGCAGATTTCATGCTACCACATTCTGTGCAGCCTCTATTCCCTTGGGACTGGGAAAAACATCTATGTTGAAAGGTAATTAATTTTTGCTTGCTTGTCTTTTCAGTTGAAACATGTGGCTCAGAAAAAATATTGTTGGGGAGAGGGCATTACCTTCTGCCTAACCATGTGCTGAACAAAGACAACAATAAACATGCAGATGTGAACTTAGGCTAGCCCAGGAATCCTCAGCCCTACCCAAAGAACTATAGGCAGCCAAGGAATGCCAAGAACAGGAGAAATAGTCCTCCCCTGGGAAGAGCACACCTATTGGTTATTCAGTACTAAACAGTCAACCCTAAAAACATGTATACAAGTAACATTATGCAGACTGAGAACTGAGAGTTTTTATTTATGTTTGAGAACACACACACACACATGTGTAACAGCAATTATTAAAAAAAAAATAGTCCATGAATTTGAAAGAGGACAAGAAGGGGCATATGGGCTTAGAGGAAAGAAGAGAAGTGGGAAAATGATGAATGCACATATAAAATTCTTAAAGATTAATAAAATATTATGTAAAAATTTCTTTTCCCCCACCCCTTATACTAAAATTTAAAAAAAACACTTAACATCTGTTTTTCAGTTCAGCCAAATATATTCACTGATCAGAAATGGTAGCTTTACAGCTGAGTTATGAAAATTTTGTAGCAATGTAAAGAATCATAATGAGGTTAATCAGATCAAAGGCTTCTGTGGAGAAAGCTACTGAATATATATGGCTACAGGAGCTATAAAATCCTGCAAAATTTTATGCTGGTAACCAAAAAATGTTGAAGGCATGTCTACTTCATTATCACAGTTTCTGACTAGCTTCCAGAGTTCCTGTGGTTAGAGCTTGCTGAGACACTCGGGGGCCTAAGGCAGTTGTTTTAGTGTTTAATGAGTCTCTGTGTGATACACCCTTGAACCTTTACCATTCTCAACTGTCAGATTAGTTACATTTTTAAACAATGCACAGTTTGGCAACAGAAAAGCTATCTGATAATTTTGAGTCTGAACAAGCTTATCTGTAGAGATTTTAGGTTCTAGTTTTGCCTCTGTAATCTGCCTGTGGCAATGGAAGCTTTAGCGACCCCTAGCCTTTTTCAGACTCAGATACAGTGTGTTGCGTTGTTCTATTTAAATCCGGGGTAAAATCAGAATGATAAAACCTCTGTACTTACCTTTATCCTTGAAGGACTGTTTCCTTTGTCACCTATCAAATAAGCAAGCCTGGAAGAATTTGATCTGTTCCAAGTAATTTATTCTGAACACTCCTTGGGATCTACTTATCATGAATCTATAAATGAAGCTTGTATCAAACACCCTAAAATCTGACCCTCATTTCATAATGAAACACACATATATTAAAATAGTGTCAGTCAAACAAAATGAGAATTTATCACCTTAAAGAACTTAAGAGCTAAACTAGTGGATTGAAATCGGGCTTAGGGATAAATTGAAAACAAGTCTATTTCATCAAAGCCACAGTTTCCAAATGACTTTCAGGGTTCACGAAGCTAGTTGAAGAGCTAATGATTAAATATGCTTTATGATTCTGTCTTTACATTTGTCTGGCTTTCCATAAAATATGGAGAAATAGTTTTGTCATCAATATATATATATATGCATGTGTTGATATATATATATTGATATATATTGAGTGTGTGTGTGTGTGTGTGTGTGTGTGTGTGTGTGTGTGTGTGTGTGTGTTTCAAGACAAGGTTTCTCTGTGTAGTCCTCCTGGCTATCCTGGAACTCACTCTGTATGTAGTCCAGGCTGGCCTCAACTCAAGAGATCCAACTGCCTCTGCTTCCTGAGTGCTGGAATTAAATGTGTGTCACCACATCACATCCCAAGTTATTGATTCCCTAGAACTGGAATTACAGATGTTTGTGAGTCACCATGTGGTGGTTGGACTCAAACCCAGGTTCTTTGGGAGAACAGTCAGTACTCTTAACCACTGAACCATCTCTGCAGCCCTGAGATGAAAATTTTAAACATGTATTTTTAACCAATAGAATCAATAAAATGATTTTCCCAATTAACACAGAATTTCACTTAGGGGAAATATCTCAATTAGAGAGAGGGGGACAGGGGAGGGAGAGAGAGAGAGTGCACATGGATTCCAAGGAACCTTATATAATTTTTTGTACAGTTTCTACATTCTTCTTTTGAAAAAAAAAGTAAACAAAAGGTCAACTCTAAAATGTCAGACCAGAAAGACTTGTTCCTCCATGGCTTTTTGTACTTTATTCATGTTCATTGCAGAGTTATTGCTCAACTACAGAACTGGGAATGTTTGTGTTTGTGTTTTTTATTCTACATCTGCATAAGACGAGCTAGCCAGGATTAGACTAAAGAGATTCAACAACTGAAAAACTAGAGACTTAGAATCCCAGAAGTGTGCTGCTGGCATAGCTAATGGGTATTGTCTGTCTATTTTCTTAGTTTTAATTGTGTAAGGCATGCTAATTCACAAAACAAAACCCAGTAGTACAGAACTTTGTCAAGTTAAAGTCTGCCATTTTCTTTACCCTGTGCAACATCCCATTCAGGTCCTGGCTAAGCCAAGTGAGAAGTGGGTGAAACTCTGCACACTGAAGTCAGGGAATTCTCTGAGAGAGTTAATATATGTTCATCCTCTGGGGAATTTAGGGCTGCAGCTATAAGACAAGTTCCTTTTCATCCTTCCACGCCATTGTACCCCTGCAGTTTCTCCAGTCTGGGTACAGATGACAGGAATGGCAGGTGCATACCGTTCTCAGCCCCAGCTCTTACTCTGCAAGATGGAAGCTCCCCGTGTACATATTGTCCGCCAGGTCTTTCATGGCCTTCACATACCCTGAATGATCACTATTTCAAGCAACTTCGAACTCCTGTATTTACTTCCAAAAATATCCTCACACTCTTCTAATTCTAGAAAGTATGGATTTGGGGGTTTTTATTACTGTAGTTGGTTTTAAATTCATTTATTTATTTCACATATGTGAGTGTTGTCTGAATATATATCTGTGTACCACATACATGCCTGGTACCACAGGAGGTCAGAAGAAGATGTCAGATGCTCTCAAATTGGAGTTATAAATGATTATCAGTGGCCATGTGCATGCTGAGAATCAAATCCAGGTCTTCTCAAAGAGCAGTCAGTGCTCTTAACTGATGTCATCTCTAAGGACCCATCTGGAGAATGTGTTTTTAATCTCTGTACCCTCACTTGATTTGGTAGTTACTTTATGATTTGGGGTTATGATACATAATGTAATTTCAGCATAGACTTCTTTTCAATTTCCTAAATTTTGAGTTTTAGGGAGAAACATGTAATAAAACCAGCATTTCTCTACTACCTTTGTATAAACTGATGTCATGAATGCTCCATGGAAGGTTTTTCTTGTAGATATAAGAGAAAGAACAACCAGATGCATCTAGCAGAGTCCAGAGAAGACAGAGAAAGTAGCAGAGTAATCCTGGCCAGCAGACTGGACCTGGCCATGAGAGAAACAGGAACAAAACACAGAGATAGGGAGCGAGACACAAAAAGAGAGAGCAAGAGAGGAAGACATAGAGAGTGTGGGCAGAAGAGAGAACATAGCCCAAATAGCAGGGTTATAAGAAGAAAGTAGCTGTGGGGAGGGGAGCCTGTGAGCTGGAGATGTTTAAGGTAGGGGAGGGGGTAAGAAGAGCGAAAAAGAACCATCGTGATGGCGTGGAATTTGAAGTGTGTAAAGGTATTTGTGATACTGAGGGAGCCTGGAGGCCACAGACAGTCATTTTTCCCCTCTGCCAGTGGTAAGGGAAATGGCTCCTTTTGGTAGAGGGGAACCAGCTTCCCAAGTTCCTGAGGAATGCTGACTTTTGCCTAATCACCAGAATTTGGGAAAGAGAGTTTCCTTTGGACTGACAACTGATAACTAAACTTTTCTTGACAAAAGAACATCTGTTGCTTTACAGAGGAATCACTAAGTATTTGGCCCAGCTGTACCTGGCATGTGCCTTGTGGTTAGAAAAGATTCTAGTCACCATAGTGATGGGATTGATTGTGAAAAGAAAAAGTCATCAAAACAGTGAAGAACTTTCCTTCAGAATCGTTAAAGTAAAAGTAATATAGAGAATTACATTGACCTGTGAGGTTTTTAGATATTGAATTTCCAAGGGTAAGGGCTTTGTTTATTTGATTATGCAAAACCCTTGAGTTCTCTAATAAGGGATTTTTCTTTTTAATGGATTTAAAGGTTTCAGGGAAGATTTTCCAGAAAACCAAGTTTGGTACTTCAATACCCTTCAATCTTGGTTTTATTTTGAATGAAAACTATATTCTTCCCCACCCTCACCCCCGGCTTTACATTTTAAATGCTTGTTCCATCCACCCTCCTGGCTTCCGTTGACCAATAATTTCTGATTGGATAGCACACATATCTAAACCACTAAGTTTATAAATATTGCCACTTAAGATTTTGCTCCCACCCCTACTTTATTTCCCTTGCCCCTGCTGATGTTTTCTACTCTGCTACGTGCTGCTTCCTTTCCATAGTATCACTGGGAGTATACAGGATAGAACTTTAAAATCATGAAGCATAAGGTATTCGTCTTAGTTAGGGTTCCTACTGCTATGAAGAGACACCATGACTACGGCAACTCTTACAAAGGAAAGCATTCAATTGGGTCTCACTTACAGTTCAGAGGTTTAGTCCATTGTCATCGTGGCAGGAAGCATGGCAGCACACAGGTAGACATGCTGCTGGAGAAGGAGCTGAGAGTTCTACATTAGGATCTGCAGACAGCAGGAAGAGAGAATGACATTGGGCCTGGCTTGGGCTTCTGGAACTCCAAAGCCCACCCCCCAGTGACACACTTCCTCCAACAAGGTCACATCTCCTAATAGTGCCACTCCCTATGAGCCTATGGGGGCTATTTCATTCAAACCACAGTATTATTAATATACTGTGATTTCTTTGTCTGTGTCCCTGACAATAGGCATTTGAGAGACTTGCTGTCACTGCATCGTGTAAATATAGTTAAGATATTGACAAAGAAATCCTCATAGTTGGGAAATTGGCAAGTAATATACTAAAATACATATTGAAACCTTTCTAATCAGCCACCCTTGACTTACCTATCATGTGAAAAATACTCTACTTGGCAGTAAAGATTAAAGAAAAACAAGTAGTTTCCAATGTTAAACTACAGGTCCTCTCTCTCTCTCTCTCTCTCTCTCTCTCTCTCTCTCTCTCTCTCTCTTTCTCTCTCTCTCTCTCTCTCTCTCGTTGGTATGGAGATAACTATGCAGCCCATACCCTGCCTGGAAGCTTTGCCCACACCTACATTGCCCCCTGGGGACACTAATGACTGTAGAAGTCTATGCCTAGCTCCATCACTCCGTGGGTCTGGAGGACCCAGGTCATTCTCTCTGGCATTTCACAGCCAGAAGTATTAATTGTCAGACTCCTGGGTTTTACTGTGTTAGCAGCAGCTGGGCCAGGAGAGCTGTTATTTATCTCTCTTGGCTGAGCAGCTAATTAGCATCCACATGTGCTCCTGACTAGAGAATGCCCTGTTGAGAAGTTGGTGTAGCTCAGATTGTTCAGTAATTAATATCACAGAGGACAGGGTCATGTCCCTGTCACTGCAGCCCTATACAACTGGGACTTCTCAACTCTTTTCTCCCCCTAAGACTTACCTTTATAGCTGCCTAACTTTCCAAACAACCATGATCATGAGCTCATAACTCCAATTTCAGTAAAACCACAGAGCAAGTAGAGAAGCTACGAGTTTGGCACCACTTCCCAGTATCAACTAAAATTTACCCTCAGACTTGGGATTGTGCCTGATCATTTCATACATGAGTGTCTCCCAGATTCTCTTCCACCTGTGTTTCCCTCTGTGATGTCCCTTTCCCCATCATTCTTCCTTATTCTCTTCTTTGAAAGCAATACAGAAGAGACATCCGATAACTTCTTATTGACTACTCTGCTGGTAAACACTGTGAAATGACCCTTTGTGGACTCTCCCCCATTTTACCTCCTTGTCCTCCGAGGGTACTGGCCATTTCAGATCTGAAGTTAAAGTGATGGTCTTCTCCTCAGGCTGGACTGTCCTCTTGAACTTGGCCAAAAAGACAAATAAGAAAGATGGGGTGCTGAGAACAATTGAGGAAAATGGGCCTGACTAGAGGATGCTCAGAAGAGGGGCCTTGGTCTCAGTGGCTTACACAGCTCTCCCTCTTCCCACTGACACATCTCCAGAGGAGACACAGGCAGCATTGGTACGCAGGCACGGGGTCTTGGTTTGACCCAAGGGTACTGCTCCGTCTGTGAAGCCTACCTGGATCGGGGAAGGGGCCAGAAGGATTCTGACAGCCAAACCTTTCTCTGGAGGACAAAGATGTACATCAGCTAGGAGGTGATGGTCTGACTGAGGACCTGTCCTTCAGGGATGATTTGAAAGTTATCGTCTTACATACTTCATAGCAAATAAGAGGTCCATTTCATAGAAGCCAAGCCTGAGACGATAAAGGGTAAAATCACTTCTATTAGTTATTCTTTAGAGTAGTTTAAAAGATCCCTTTTAAAATCAGTTTAGTAACTGAGTGAAGCCTGAGTGGGTTTTTTCCAGTGAATCCAAAGCTTTATGCCCACTCAGTCACCCTCTGCCTTTCTCCTCCCTCTAGTCAGCACGTTAGTCTTGCATCTCAAGCAGGGCCATTATGTACTCGTTCAGGCTGCCCTGCAGACTCCAAGTCTGCTCCAATGGCCTTATGCAGTCATTTTATTCAGAAACAGTTAGGGTTACATTTTTAAAGTTCAACTCAAATGCATCTCTTACTCTAACAAAGCTGGAGGTTGAAGCTAATCCTTATGATTAGTTTGGAAAGATCCGGCTTTTTGAATTGCATTGTTTCAGGGTTCTGTATAGAATGCATGTTCTATCTTTGGTCTGTATTACTGAGAAAGGACTTTCACCACCTAGCAGACAAAGGTTAAGGCCAATGTGGCTTACTCTTCTGTAAAAAAATGCTACCACCTCTATAAATCCTTGTTACCTACTTGCAGAGAATCTATGCTTTTGACATTCCAGCTTCTTGGTGCTGTTGAAATTGTTGGTTCTTGTCACAGTGAAGGGTGACTAGCACACAGTCTTGGGGACAGGTTGGGAACTGGAAGGAATCCTACAACTGACAACCTGTTCCACAGATTTATGGCATTGACTCTTAGTTCCAAGTTCCTTCTCCAGCCGACTGTTATTTCCATGATGGTCCAATAACAGCCCCCACAGTATATCATATCATCTTACCACAAACTAGGTTCAAAGCAATGAACTCACCATTAATATCTGCATAAAGATGGGGAGAGAAAGTGCATGCAGCTTTACAGTGCCTCAGGATGCCCAGTACATTAAAACATAAGAAGTGTGAGACATCCTGAGAAGGGGACCTAACTGGTGTGTGGGGTCAGCATACAGATGGCATCACTTCTAAATGGACTTCTTTGTTTCCAGGCAACGTCCCGCTCTTGGAGAATGTCTGGCTTCCTTGGCAGCTGCCATCCCAGTGGCATTCCTGGAGCCTAGCCTTAACCGCTATAATCCCCTCTCAGTCTTCAACACCAAGACTCCCAGGGAGCGGTCTAGTAAGTATCTTCTCACAGAGATTATCAACCCAGGGGAATAGCCAGCAAGGTGGCAGGAATGGAACAGCAGTCCTGCAGTGTGGTGTTTTACGTGGTATATTGTTAGCTACTTTTCTTGTACCAGATAAAACACCACAAGGAAAGAAATTTTATTTTGGTTTGTGGTTTAAGGCAGAGAAGGCATGCAGGAAAAAGTATGAGGCAGCTTATCACATTCCATTCACAGTGAGGAAGAGGAGAGACGAAAGTTGATTTTCCATTCATTTTCTCATTGGTTTGTTTGTTTGTTTGTTCGTTTGTTTGTTGTCAAGACAGGGTTTCACTAGGTAACCCTGGCTATCCTGGAACTCACTCTGTAGACCAGGCTGGCCTCAAACTCACAGAGATCTGCCTGTCTCTGCCTCCCGAGTGCTGGGATTAAAGGTGTGCACCACCACACACTTTCTCCATTTTATTCACTCTGAGACCCCAGTGCATGGAATGATGCTGCCCACATTCAGGGTAGGTCTTTCCTCCTTGGCAAAACTTCTCTGGTAATGCCTTCACAGGCATACTTGCAGGTGATTCTAAATCCCATCAAGTTGACAAAGTTAATCCTCACAATATGAAAGTAGGTCAGCGGGTCAGAGTTAGGGACCAGATTATGTCTCTATATCGTTGGAGAAATGAGCTTGAATGAGACTTTTTTGATCATTAGACTTTTGATAGCTCTTTCATACAATGAGGAGACAGTCTAGTTGGATTCTAATTTCCTGCCATCTCAAGACCTTGTGGTCTTTCATCTGCCCCAGGTCTCCACTTCTGATCTGTACCTGGGGATATGACTACCTTATAGTAGGTTTTATTCAGAGGGGCATCACAACAGGGCATATGCACACTAATAGCCTAAGTATGTTCTTCAAGAGGAGGCTATGCTCCAAAGAATACTGAACACATATTCTCTACCATCATGGAAAATAAGACATTGAATAGCACCAGAAGGAATTGTAGTTATACAAGGAAGAGGCTTTGTTAACAGGAGCATTGACATGCACTAAATTCTATAATAGAGATTGGTAAACTATGTGCATATGACAATTCTGGCCCATAGCCTATTTTGATAAAGATTTATTGGAAAACAACCAATAGTCATTAAAATCCAAATCAAGTTGTAATCCTCCTTCTGGAGAGTGAAAAGAAAGGTCTTCCTATTTGGGTTCAGTGTGATATTAGTTAAATATTGTTATGGGGAGCCCACTAAAGATGACCACTCAGACACAGTTTATAGCCCATTGAAAGTCTTTATTCCAGCTAGGACTACACTTAGTAATCAGAACCCAAGTGTAGTGCCAAGTGTTTAAGGTAGGGGTTTAAAAGGCTAAAACCACATCCTGATATCTTGCTGGCAGCTGCACAGAGAGATTTTGTGCAAGCAAACAGTTTAACAGAAGCTAAGATAAGTGATTAGCTGGAGAGGGAGGTTTGCACAGAAGATAAGTTAGCTGAGGCATCTTGATCTCAGGTTCCTACAATAGAGTTGGGAAATTTTCCACAGCATTCTCCACCAAGAAGATCAAGTTCTAGTTAAACCTAAAATGGCCTCAGCAAGAATACAAAATGGAGAAAACTCCATACTGTCTTGCCCTGTCACAAGATGACAGACTAAAACAGAAAATCTTCCATATCTATCTTTAATAAATCTTGGGTTCCAATAGATGAAATCTGAAGCCCAAACTGCATAATTATAGACCTAGTCAATGTTAAGAGAAAGAAAGATACATAGTAGACCATTTTAAATTAGAATCCATTCCATCTTGAGCCAAGATTTTCTTAAATGATGAATATATACTACAAACGAATGGCTACACTCCATATCAATTCCATTTGTTTCAAGTATTATTTCTCAAACTGTCGTGGGGTCCTAAGCATACCTTGTCACCACTTTCCTTCTAACCTAACGTGCAGAGTGCTAAACCACAGAAGCTTTATCCCCTCTTGCTTCTTATTTCACATCCTAAGAACTTCCTGCCTCTAGACAGGGTCCCCAGAACAATTTAGGTAGAATTACTAGAACTAGAATAACAGTGGAGACTGGAGGTTAGTGTAGGCTTTGATCTATGCCACAGGTATTCACCAGTAGAGAACCAGATGCCCCATTCACCAGAGGCAAGGGGAGATAAGGGAAGTGGCTCTTTCTGGCAGACAGAAACCCATTTAACAGGTTCTGAGAAATGCTGCATGTAAACATATACAGCCTGAGTTAAGCCCAGACTGTCATTTAGGGACATCATCACCTTTTAGGGGGATTGAAAGTTCCCTTGCACCTAATTCCTTTCTCCACCAGTAACACACTGTGAGACTTGTCACCCTAGTCTCCTGCCTTTCACCATTGGTTTAAATAAGCAAAAAGTGAATGCTGAGTGTGTATGTAGCTTTTTTAAAAATCATATGTGCATCAATATGTATTTTGGGATACACAGAATTAGCTGGAGAATGACTGATAGCTTAATGGACCATAAGATAGCAGACTTCATTCATTACAAAATGGGTGGCCTAAGGAGCAAAGGAGAGGAAGGGATATTTAAGGTGACAAATGATGGCATGTTTTTTAAATGAATGAACTGATTTATACTATCAAGCCTTGCATCAATTGGACAGCTCTATTAATTGATGATTGGTGTTGTGCCAGCAGAGTTAATTATATTAAAAGCCTCAGCACTCTAAGAACCTGTAGCATTTTCTTATCCAGAATTAAGATATAACTAAAGGTTAATACTGTTTTGTGGCACTTTTTCAAAATGGCAGAAATCCTTAGTCACATGGATGTAGCCTATTAATCAGAGTATTGGGTTGATGGAAACATCCGGTCACTAGCCACCTTGCTTACCTTCCACACCCTGATGGAATAATCAGCCACCACAGAGAAAAGAGGTCCAATTCCATTGTAAGTCATCAAGGAGCTCTTTGGGTAAAGGGCTTCTAGGAGAACATGATAGTCCTCTAGGATCATTGTGTTAAAGATCACCAAGCCCTACCACTGTCATTGGTGTTTCTAACTCAGTAGACCTAGAGTAGGGCTTGAGGTCCTGCATCTCTGGTGTATTAGATGAGAGGAACTCACCATGAGAACCATTACCTATGGACTGCAAGGGCAGTGTGTTCTAGTGACTTTAACAACCCTCTGTGTCTGCTGCTAGCAGAACTCATTTGAGGCTGACTTCAGTTAGCTAATTCATCAGAGTTCACTGAGCTTATTGTGTGGCATTTGGAGCACAAAACACCTTCTGAATCATAAATGTTGGTTCCATTCAAGGACCAATTATTGTACATATAAATAATTTCTAAAAGTCACTATCATGACTCCAATGCACCAACTATTAATCCCAAAGATGGGAGGAGAAAGACCACCAACCCAAATCATCATGGCCAAATTAATTAAAGAAAGCAACTAATTAAAGGGGGATTTTTAAAATTATGTACACAGGCTGTCTCCCCCTAAGGCAGGGTTTGAGAGGTCAGCCTTGGATATGAGGAAAATAAGGCTTTTATAGCTCAAGGGTAGGGGGGTTCCAAATGGAGGATTTGGTGAGCAAGATAGGTGAGGCTATAAGAGCAGAACATAAGCATAACAAGTTAGTCCTAACAACCTCCTGAAATAAAGACATGGCTGCAAGGTGGACATAACAAGGTAGCCATAACAACAAGTAGTTGTAGCACGATAGTCATAGGTGGCCATAAAGCCTTTTGAAACAAAGGTAGGGTTGCAAGGTGTTTATAAACAACTTTTTGAAAAAAGACATGGCTGCCATTCCTGGAACAGGCAGTACAGAACCATTTATAGTTAAGGTTATAGGTAAGGTATAGTCCAATCATTGAAAAACAGATTTAATCATAAACAGGAATGAACCTAGTTTGTCTTTACTATAAGATGACTTTTAAGCCTAAGATGGAGGTAGGCTATTTCTTTACAACCTCAAGCAATTCCTTGTTCTTCTTAGGTAGGAGAAAGAAGTGTCAATGGTGATGTAGTATCTGTGTGACTTTTAAACACAACACATGAGCTTTCTCATTTATAATTCTAACAGCAAATAAGTGTGTCAGTTGCCTCTATATTGATTGGCATTATTCTGTATATGGAGTTCCTGGTGGAAAGTTTGACTGCTCAGAACTAGACTATTTACTTTGAAGGTACATATGTAAAATTACCTTGCTTGTGAGGACCTCCCAGGATTCCCAGGTTGTTGTCCATGTTTTCTGCTGCAAAATGCAAGAAAGGTGCATCCTTCACCAACAACCAGCACTGCATTAGAGCATAGGTGGCATTACACTCTTGAATCCATTTTGAATTGACTTTTCTACAGGGATTAGAGAGTTAGTATTGGTTACTTCTCATGACCAAAAACAACATATGGATTAAGAGTTTATTTTGGCTTACAGCTGCAGAGGGCTGGAGCCATAATGGCAGGGGAAGCACGGCCTGCCAGCAGGGGCAGGAAGCTGCTGATCAAATTTTATTTGCATAAAGGAAGTAGAGAGAACAAGTAGGAAATAGAGTGAGGCTACAAACCCTCAAATCCCACCTTCAGTGACATGTTTCCTCCAGCAAGGCTCTACCTCCTAAAGGTTCCATAACCTCCCCAAAGAGCACCACCAATGAGGGATCAAGTGTTCAAATGCATAAGCCTATGGGAGATATTTTTCATTGAAACCACCACAGACACAAATTTAGTTTCATGTGTCTACATGTGGAAAACTAGTTTTCCCAGCACCATTTGTTAAAGAGGCTGCCTTTTCTCCAATGTGTATTTTTGACAGCTTTGTAAAAATGTAGGTGGCTGTAACTGCATGAGTTTATTCCTGGGTCCACTATTCTATCCCAGTGGTCTATCTGCCTGTTCTGTCAAGAACCTCAAAACACTTACGATCTTCCATCTATCTTGCAGGGAAAAGTATTCCTTAACTTAAAGGGAACAAGATAAATAATTTGTTTTTGTTGTTGTTTCTACTTTTTTTTAATAATCTCCTAATCCTCTTTGTATAATGTTGAAATCTAATTTCATTTCATGCTGGCTGTCCTTATCCAGTGAAGTGACCTAGTCATTCGAAATGGAGAAAAGGGGGTTAGCTTACAAGTCCTTGTAAATATGCTTTCTTAAACAACAAAGTGAATGACTGACAGGAAGTCAATTAAATCTCCTAAGCTTATTGATCATTTCTGTTGTAAAGGCAGAAAATCAATCCATGATTTTTTTTCCTCAGTGTATTTTCAACTAGATGTTAAATGTTAGAGTCCCTAGTCCAGCTGCAGGGGTGTTTGATGGAATATTTTCCTTCCCCTTTTACGGCAGTACAGAAATGATCTGGGTGAGTGAACTATCATCCAGCACCCGAATGTTGAGGAGTTATTTTACCCCTGACGCCACCTCTATTGCAGTGGACACACCAAGGTCTGATAGGCAGGCCAAGGGACTAGCCAAGAATCTGTTTGTCACAAAGTTGTCTTATGTGCCCTTCCTCAGCAGTGTCTCCATGGAGGTTGCTTAACTCTATGTTTCTAACTTCAGTGTGACCTTTAGGAAAAGGCCCCTGGAAATTACAAGTCTGTGCACACACAACTTGAGTCCTGAAGCTGCTTTCATCCAAACTCATTCCTTTAAGGCTCTGCAGTGGAAATTCATATCGAAAGACCAAAAGAAGGCTTTGCTCCATCACTGTGCCTTTGAATCACTGTGTCTTTCTTCTTCCTGTACTCTCTTGGTCAGTTATGGGGATGCCAGACAAGGTGGAAGAAATGTGTCCTGACATCCCCCAGCTGGAAGGCCTGATGAAGGAAATCAATAGCTTGGCCGAGTCAGGTGCCCGGTATACGGAGATGCCCCATGTCATTGAAGTGATCTTGCCTATGCTCTGCAACTACCTGTCTTACTGGTGGGAGCGGGGACCTGAGAACCTGCCCCCCAGCACAGGGCCCTGCTGCACCAAGGTCACCTCTGAACACCTCAGCCTCATCCTGGGCAACATCCTGAAAATCATCAACAACAACCTGGGCATTGATGAGGCCTCCTGGATGAAGCGCATCGCAGGTACCAACGCCCTTTCTCTCATTCTTTGAGCCAGCGGTTAAAGCAGCCAGATTTGCTTTTTAACTCTCGGTAGTTGTGTGATGATTTTGAGCAAGTTCTATTCTGTTTTTTAATCTTCTACCTTCCATTTGCTTAGCACCGAACTGGGGGGTAGAAGTTTAGCACAGTTTGTACAGTACTTGCCTAGTATATGTGAAGCCCTGGGTTTCAATCCCCAGCAGTGCACAAACCAGGTATGTTGGTACAGCCCTGTAATATGAACACTTGGGAGGTAGATGTAGGATGATCAGAAGTTCAAGGCCAGCCTTGGCTACATAGGAATGCAAGGCCAGCCTGGGCCAAGTGAGACCCTGTCTCAAACAAAAACAGCACAGTAAACTGAATGGACATACTTTCCTCAAGCCTTTACTCCAACCCTACTCCCCTACTAATCCAGGCCCCTCAAATCTCCAAGGAGCCTTTTAGATCAGCTGTACTCACTGTGATGATCATTGCCTTATTTGTTGGGGTGCTTAAGAAACCCATTGGCTCTTCTGTTACTAATTATCTATAGTTGGTTGGGAAGTAACCCTTTGCATTTGATATTTATGTAAAACTCGCTCCCATCCGGGCTGCACTAATTTCCTCAGTGTCATTCTGAGTTTGCATTTCACTTTCTGCTTTCTAAGATGGGCTTGAATGAAGCTAATAATAGCCGCACTTTGTTTTGTTGATTTTTTTTTCCTCTCTTTGTATCCCTCTTTAACTCCTGGCAAGCAGTAGGCTCTTAATGAATGTTATTAGCCAATTTTCTGTTCCTCAAGCAACCACAAGAGGAGAAGTTCTGGAAAACGAGTGTAATTCCCCCAGTCAAAGAACCATGAATATTTAGCATCCTGTGTGTCAAACTAGAGTCTGGGGAGCTCAACACTGTAGAAAATCATTCTTTTTGATACAACTTCAGTTTAGATCATGGAGTCCGCTTGTCACAGCTTCTCCCGTACAACCTCCTGGACTGTGAATTGCCAAAGCTAGGCTACAGGGAGCACAACACTGCATAGTGACTTTTCATAGCAAATGAATAGACACACATAGAATACTAGAAGAACAAATGGGAAACACTCCTACCTCCTTTCTGTCTCAGAAATGAGCTGAGTTTAAAATTACAACTATTTTGATTGCTGGATAACACAGACCCCGTGGACATATAATAAACAGAGTAGACAGCCCCTTATTACCAATTACCCTAAAAAGGTTGTTAATCATAAGGTAATTTGATGGGTTCTCATCTATAAACCTGAGTTTAGAGAAGGCTGCTCCCAAGAGTACCTGTCACTACTCTGAGGGGCACTGATGAAAACAGAATTTAAAGCTGTCTTTCCTGCAGCAAATCCAGATCTCATTCAGTGAAGCCACTTAATTCCTGGTGACTAATACAAGTTTTAAGTAGTAGCCTCAAGCTCAATTAGGTACAGCAGCAGTCCTATGCCTAGGAGAGTGCGGAGAAGTCCGGACTCCTTGGCTAATACATGTCATCCAAAAGCTACCTTCACCTTATCGGAGTGAAGCTATCTCTTTCTCTTTTATTAGAAAAGCAAAACATAAGGAAAAGTGAGAAGAAAAAGAAAAGCTCCTGGAATATAGCTGTTCTTAATTGAATTTCCCTAAGCTAAAGAAATGTCAAAATGGACATTCGCATGTCCATTGTCAATGGTTCAGGATGCATTCATTTCATTTTACTTTTTTCCTGCAATTACCCTGATTCTTATATTCAGACTATTCAGCTCAGCTGGCTTAAGTCATAACAATATAATCAGAATATAGTCAATGGGATATAAGAAATAGGGTAGAACGTGTGGGTTTCCATCATTCTAACAAAAGGCCAACATTGCAGACCCTCTAATTTCTTATTCAGCTTCTCTACTTCTAGCAATGCCCCAGTCTTTCCCAGCCCATGTTTACCTCCCTCCACTGAAACCCAAAGAAGATGCCAGTGCTGAGGGCTTAGAACTTGACTGGACTAATATGCTTTGGGCAGATTTTTTTAATGAAATAATTAGAAAGCGTGTGTGTGTGTGTGTGTGTGTGTGTGTGTGTGTGTGTGTGTGTGTGTGTGTGTATTTTAATTTTTAACACATAATAATTGTACATATTTGTGGGGTACAGTGTGACTTTCAGTGCACATATTCTTTGTGTAATGACAGATCAGGGTAGCTGATATATCTATCACCTCAACAGAAAGCACACACCCAGTGCTTGCTCCCAGGTCAGCACAGTACCAATTGCTATGAACAAAAGGCTTCCTTCAGGGTCATAAAATCTAGCTGGCAGAACTAGACCAACATGGACAGACTGTCAGATGATGCCAGATAGTCTGTTAGGGAGAGGAGAGTTATGGCATAGGCCGTGCATACATGAGGAATTCATGTAGGGTGGGGCTCCTGTGGCCTGGAGGAGCTGATAGTGTTGGGACCTTCTCCTGCAGCGGTCCTAGATGCCCAGCCTCCACTGTGGACTTTCATGAGAGGGAAGTATCAAGGGAGGATTAAAGGAGAGAGCTAGACACAGGTACCATCCTGGGTTGACAGATTCCTCAGTGTCACCTTTCCTTGTCGTGAATGGTCACAACACATGGAGCAAGAGTAAGGTGCCTTGTTTGCAAATGCAGTGTATGCGCAGCCGATCATCAGCAAAGCCAGGCCTGACCTGCTGCGAAGCCACTTCATCCCCACCCTGGAGAAGCTAAAGAAGAAGGCAGTCAAGACGGTGCAGGAGGAGGAGCAGCTGAAGACTGACGGCAAGGGGGACACCCAGGAGGCTGAGCTGCTCATCCTAGACGAGTTTGCGGTCCTCTGCAGGGACCTCTACGCCTTCTACCCCATGCTGATCCGCTACGTGGACAACAGCAGGTATGAAGGAGAGCTCTGGAAGCTGCCTGCTGCTCTCTGAGGCTGGTTTGGGCAATCAAATAGCATGGGAAGATGATCATGTTGCCAGGGAGATGAGGGATCCACAGCTACCACTCCCAGTCTCCCCACTAGTAGTCAGAGCCTATGTAGAGTAATTCTGTATGGATTGAGACACACATCCTCATGGGCCACTAGGAGGCAGGAGGAGCTAGTTGAACAGGATTGCATTGACTCATTTCAGACCTTCTTCTATCCCCTTATGTACTCATTCAGTGGATGTCCTTGACTGTGCCAGGCACTCTTCAAGGCCTTGAGGGAGAGGACATACTCTTTAGCATAGGAGCATTCATTCTGGGAGTAAAGGGGCATAGACAATTAGAAAGAAAAAAAAAAACAGAGTAAAACCATATTGAGAGAAGTAAAAAGAATTAGGAGAGGCAGGGAGAATGGAGTGGCAGTTCCTTTACTGTGATGTTCCTGGGAAAGCAGCATTTGAGCAAAGCCCTCAGGAAGTACGAGGCTAGGAACCATAAAGGTCCAGAACAAGAGGATTGTGGGAAGAGGGACTATGGGCGAATGTCCTCAGGAAACAGTGTGTTCAGGATGTTCACTAGTTGAAATGCTCGAATGTCACAATTAAGAAAATTAATTCTTAAAATACCAGAAATTTTCTGTATGAGTCATCCTTTATCCAAACCCAATATATTCATTTGGCATATGAAATTTAATTGTGATATAATGAATGGTTAAACAGTAATTTGAGATATATGAAGGCCTGTGGTCCTATATGTCTGTAAAGAATGCAGGGTATTTGTAGATGAGCACAGATGTCTCCAGGGAAACTTAGAAGGTGGTATCGAAGCCCTTACTGCGTTAGTTCCTTTCTCCAGGCTGTGACCAGATAACCGATGGGAGGGAAACTTAAGGAAGGAGTTAGTTTGGCTCACGGTTTGAGGGGACACCGACTACCATGGAGGGAAGGTGAGGCAGTGGGGCCTTACTTACATCTGGGTGGATAGAAGCTGAGAAAGGACAATGTCATGGTTTCCATTGGTTTTCCCTTTTTTCTCCTTATTTATTCAGTCTGGGACCCCAGTCCAGGAAATGGTGTCACCTACCTCTAGGGTGGGTCTTCTCCTCTCATACAATCCTCTCTAGACACGCCTTCATAGACACAAATCTGGGCCTCACTGATACCGTAGGCATTTCTTTTTTAAATGCTTTTTAACCTTTATTTTTATTTTATTTTATTTTATTTTATTTTATTTTATTTTATTTTATTTTATTGTGGGGTTCCTTTGAGACGGGGTTTCTCTGTTTAGCCCTGCCTGTCCTGGAACTCACTCTGTAGACTCATAGATCTACCTGTCTCTGCCTCCAGGGTGCTGGAATTAAAGGCATGTGCCACCACCACCTGGCTTTAGCCTTTATTTTTATTTTATGTGAATAGGTGTTCTGCCTACGTATGTGTCTGTACACCATGTGATTGTTTTATACCCTAGGACTGGAGTTACTGACAGTTATGAGCTGTCATGTGGGTACTGGGAATTGAACTCAGGTCTTCTGGAGGAGTAGTCAGTGCTCTTAGTCAGAGAGCCATCTCTCCAGCTCCCCACTAGGTATTTCTTAACTCAATCAAGCTAATAATTAAAATTAACCATTACAAACCCATCCCTTGTCAACTTGACAGACAAATGTGTCACTTTACACTGTGATATTTGGCCTTTGCTTTCTTTCTCCCTACAATTAAATGTATATTGTTTTCCCATGCTGGTTCTCCACTTCAATGTCAACAGGGTACCCAACAATGTACACTAATTCTGACTGTACCTAGAGTTAGTATCATCCTGTAAGAATGCCCCAACTGCAAACACCAGCCATGTATGGGGTACCCATGGGTTAGGGATGTATGTAGTTCAGTAGTAGAGTGTTTGTATAGGATTTTTAAAAGGAAATCACTAACAAATACTATAGATGTAATTCTAAACAGTCTTATGAAATGAAAAACAGAACCAAATACAGAGTTAAAAGCCCAGAGATCAGAGCAGTAGCCAAGAGCTAACACTACCTTATATTACCACTCACTGCCGTCCTTCCCCTGAGAGAGACCTTCTTCCTGTGTCCTGTCTTTTTATTGCCTTTCTGTTCTGCCTTATCATTGGCTCTAAACCCAACCACATGACTTCCTCGTCACTGCCTGTCTATACAGACCTCCAGGTCTCTACGGTTGGTACTGGGATTAAAGGCGTGTGGCACCATGCAGCCTGTATCCTTGAACACACAGAGACTCTGCCTGCCATGTGATCGGATTAAGGGCATGTGCTACCACTGCCAGACTTCTGCTTAATGGCTACAACCTCTGATCTCCAGGCAACTTTATTTATTAACAGACAAATAAAATCACATTTCAGCACAAATAAAATATCACCATAAAATAATGCAACCATTAACCCACAACTGAAGTCATGTGCATTGAGCCCACCACACAAGACTTGCCATTTCAACAATCTGTCCATGAACAGAGAGTAGCTCACAGGGACCCACCTTTACTTCTGAATGATTAGATACTAATAAATTCTGGGAGAGGAGGGATCGCTGTCTTTAGTTTCGTGCCCTCTGCTGAACCTACCAGGTTCCAAAGGATAACTCTAAGCCCATGGTCACTAAGATGGTCTGTTTATTCTCAGTAGATCACAAAACAAATAGATAATAACATAAGAGAGAGATTTGTGGGAAGGGGGGGAGTAGCAAAGTGGTAGGAAGGTGGGGGGCAAGAATGGACAGTATGTATTGCATACATGTGGGAAATTGTCTAAGAACAAAATTAACAAAAATGAAGTTAAAGCTGGCCGGTAGTGGTGGTGCATGCCTTTAATCCCAGCACTGGGAAGGCAGAGGCAGGCAGATCTCTGTGAGTTCGAGGCGGCCTGGTCTTCAGAGTGAGTTCTAAGACAGCCAGGGGCTACACAGTGAAACCCTGTCTTGAAAAACAAAAAATAACAACAACAACAAAAATGTTATAAGGAAGTGACCAGGTTAGCCACAGTTTTGCTGTGCTGTGCAGAATAAATATAAACTTGGATTTCTTGACCCCTGCCTCAGAATGATTCATAGTGAATAAGGCCTGGCTCTGGGTAAAAACCCATAATAAGAGAAAATGGAGAAATATGTGTTAATATGGGAAAATGACTTTATTACAGTTTTGACTGAAACTGAGAGGAGCAATTCTCTATCTCTGGGGCCGTGACAATGCGCTAGTATACGTGGGGGAGGGGGAAAGGAAACAAAAGGCAGGAAATGTGCATATTTGATTTAACTGAGGGCTCAAGTTAGCAGTAGTGAAAGATGGGGTGGGGTGGGGAAAAAAAACAACCCTCTCCTGGGAAAGTCCAGAGTTCGTGGGACTAGCTATTTCCACTCTCGGTATGGCTTTTCTGGTAGGTATTCCAATCCTTAGGACCCCCCATAGAACTCAAAGCACATATGATTACTGATTGATTAAAAGAATACAACTCAGGAACATCCAAATAGAAGTACATGGGCTTGGGGTTGCGCAGAGTTCCCATGCTCTCCCCAGGGGTAGCAGCCTCTCGGCACATCAATGTGGTCACCAGTCTAGAGGCCCTGAACCTCATTCAGCAGTTTTTGGTGGTGGTGGCATTTGGTTGTGTTTTCTTTTGCTTTGCTTTGTTGTCCTGGGCATTGGGCCTAGGGTGGATTGCCTGATAGGCAAGTGCTCTCCCACTGATCAGCAGCCTTGATCTTTAACAGTTTTATAGGTGTTGTTGACTGACTGTATCAATAGCCAATGGTGTTTGAGTTTGAACTGAATCCTCTCAACTCATTCCAAGGGGTTAGGAATAAGTCTGAAAGTTCTGACCCTATAATCTGATTCCAACTAACACTCGAAAGTTCTAGTCTGTCTGGGGCCCAGGTGCTACCCTGAAGTTATCTATCCCCTCAGCAAGGTAGCCTCATGCCATTCACACACCCAGCTATGGCCAAAAGCTTATGAAGAGCAAAAAATTGTTCCTACTGCTCAGGACCCCCTTTGGCAGGAATAGAAGCAATGACTAAGTGTATAGTTCAGTTTAACAAAGGCTCTTAAAGTTGAGAGACTTACAATCAGGGAACATTAGAAGGGATGGAAAAATAGCTGAGAGAACATGACTGATGTTGGAGTCATTTCCCATGCGTGGCAGGAAATTTATATTCATTTTAGCATTTACCTTTATCATATAGGCTGCACTTAATGTAATATGAATGAGCTTACTTATATTTAGGATTTGAAAAAAAATATCTTCTGCATACATACTGTCTTTACACATACACACACATATGTATCAACACATATGCATAAATATGTACATTAAGACTAGAATAGTGTATTTCCTTTCCTGGCAACAGGAAATTATACTCACTTTGACAAAGAAACTCTGCTCTTAGAATATCAGCTTTAGTCATTTCCAATAACGTAATTACGTTAGCAATTTAAAGAAGGAATTTGTCAGAGTTTGAGGTGAAAACAAAAATAAAAATGGAGTGAGATTGCTCCTGGAATAGCTTTTGAATTGCGTCTGTCGCCACGGATGATCAAGACTCAAGACAGAGCGTGTTCTGTTTACAGGGTGCTTGACAGTTGCTAAAAATGGCAATGTCAGAGAGTCTTCGAGATCATCATTAATTCATTCATCTCCACTTTCCAACCTGTTCTTCCCTGAGCGTCACAGCCATGTGAGCCTGCTTAGAAATACATCCTCTAACATGAGTGCTTGTCCCTTCAAAGACCTTTGTAGCAGTGAAAGCAGAAAGCATGTATACTATACTAAGTGTGAAGTGTAGAAAAATGTTCAGAGCACTAGCCCTGGGGCTCAAGTCTGTAATTGCAGCAGTTAAGAGGCTGAGGCGAAAAGTATACAAGACTTCAGCCTAGGCTACAGAGTGAGACCCTCAAAAAAAAAAAAATACAGAACAACATACTTATTAAGTTGATTATTTTG